TGTCCGTCCATCCATTCACCCATCCATTTGTCCATCATCCTGCATCATGACAATTAAATCCGAAGGTAGTAGTTCGGATAAAAGGGTTATTTACTCCGTAGGTAGTATAGTATTCTCGTAAACATAAGCTCTTCCAATCATGGAGTACTACCCCCAAGGTAGACTGGAATATCCAAGTATGTCAGTAGTATGTGTCATGGACAGCCAAGTCCGGTGTGCAGACGTACGCGGACATGCATATCCGGATGCATGTGTTTCTGTAATGTGTATGTAGTATGTATGTAGGTGTGGGCTCGGTTAGAGAAGGAAGGGGGTGGTTAGTGGGATGATAAGGCCATTGAAGGTGTGTATCACCATTAGACATATGATATAACTCGTTATCAATATTACTATAGCAGATGGCTATTATGCTTAGATGGGTGCGTGCGTAAGTTTACTCGATTTGGTAATAGGAATATAACATTGGTGGAATCATCGTATAGATGAGCAAATAAACCAAGGAAAAAAAAAGAAGGTCAGTAACAATGAATAATGAGTTATCCTACTTAATAGCAAGAGGTGTGGGAGTTGGGCTGAGTTGGGTGCAGCAGCAGCAGCAGCAGCAGCAGCGGATGTACGTATCTCAGCATCCGGAGAGGCAAGTTGCAGTTCTGTGCAGAACCCGTGACCAGCAAATCCATACTGCAAGTTGTCACCGGGGGCTGGGGCTGGGGCTGGGGCTGGGGCTGGGGCTGGGGCTAGATCTGAGATCGCGCCGTTCTGGTCTGATCTGGTCCAGATAGCATATCTGCCAGCTGCCATGGCCACTAGTTATCTCTGGAACCCTGTCGGGCCCTTTTACTCCGACGCATGGACGGAGTAAGCCGTACGGTGTGCAGCCATGTTTAATTGAACTAATTCCAGGACTACTACTAGGTTCAGGGTTCAGCTGCTCCTCTGTTTACTTTTCCCCCCTTCTTATCGTACACCGTAGACTACAAGGCAAATCATTCAAGGGGTCACGCTGGCTTGGCAGGTCCGAAAAGGGTTGATCGGCAGAATCTATCATTGCTTGGCCGTGCAACAGGAACTACGGTTTATCTGATGGCACAATGCTTGGCACATATCAATGGACCCTTGGCAGTCATTCAGGATTGTCTGGGCAGCGCGGCCCAGGCAAGGAGTATGGTATCATTGTGATTGTGCAAGAGGCTATGAACATGAGATGTTGACTTGGCGTCGAGTAATATTGGCAAAAGCAAAAGCAATGAATCTTGCAACCCAAAAAAAAAGAAAACATTGGGCCCCGCACTTCGTTTCCCCCGAACGGTCGCTCGTCCAATAACGTCAGATATCCATGACAAGAACTCGTAGTGATCTTCCTTCGGTCTGCGGGGTTAGACTTTAGTCCCCGTCAGACGATGAGGTGCGAGGCAAGGAAATCGTGTCCAGCGCGATTCGTCGAATTGAAACTGCTTCTATTGCCAGTAGCTTAGTTGCTGGGCGAAGCGGCGTCGCGAGTGTCGACGCCCAGGTAGAGGAAACCGCTGGGGAGACGGCTGAATCCAGGGCGCTGGGTGGTTCCGCTGGCCGTAGAGGACTGGCTGCTGGAGCGCTCACGAACCTGTGTCGAGGCAGAGAGAGGAGCCGTCTCGGTAGGGGCCAGGACAAGGAACTTGGAGGTGGGGGTGTAGGAGTACATGGTGTTTGATGGATGAGTCGGACAAGGAGTCTTTGGAAGTAGATGAAATGGTAGAGTCTTGAAGTGACTTGGAATCAAGTAGAGAGAGAGCTTTTCTTGCAGAGTTGCTTGGAAGAAAGAGGATGGATGAGCACTTCATCGGCTGGAATCGGCCACCCTTATATAGCTATGGCAGAGCTCAGCCAAGCCATTATCGCAGGGAAGAGGGGTTGACCGGAGATGGTGTCGATCAGGCGAGCTACCGATTCTAGCCCAGCTGCAGAAAGCAGATAAGTGGAGGGACAAGCAGTGGCTTGCCTATTCCTCATACCCGACGGTGGACCGGGGACACGCTGTAATTCACATGCCTGCGAAACGGACTATCACAAAGGAGGGGCTGAGAACGTCATCCTTGAAAATCCCCCCTTCCTTTGCATATCTTGGCTCTGGCAATAGTCATACCCGAGCAGGATGCGGTGGACGATCTGGTTGGGCGAGCTGGGCCTGGGGGTCCCCGACACAAGCATCAGGACCGCCACGACTCCGAACCCAGCCTCGGATGATCAGCAACCAAGAGCCGTGGCCAAGGCACTATTGATTGAGACCGAACCGTCCCGTGACGAGTTCTGAGGAACGTGGGAGTAAAGAGGCGATAAGAGGCAACGTCAGGAACATAGTGAGTTTTGGTCCATTCTTAGGGAGGAAATGAAGCGGGCCTGCCAAGTCGTCGCCGCATTCTTTTTTTCTATTCTTTCCCCGTGGATTTCTGGTTATGTTCCCCAGGCCACATGACCACCCCCCCCCGGAATTCCATGGTTGTTTCCCGCAGCTGCAACTTCTTGCTTCCCCTCGGAGATCGCCTTCTAGAATTCCCTTCCTCGGGAAATCTTGAGCTGGGCAGCCACATCTGCTTCTCATTTGAAATGACCCAGATCTTTCCCCCTTGCTTGGAAGAAGCCAAAGAAGCCGCCAGAAAACAGCATTGCTCGTGGAGAAGACTAGACCACGGGGTTGAAGTCGGAAGCTTCAGGGAACGGGAAGCTGGGAACACCCGACGGGCGGAGATGGTGGTCCGGGGGAGGGTTTCATGGTAAAGGGATGAAGTGAAAGGACTGACTAGTGGTTAATTGAATGCAACTAGCAGGTTCCCTCTCTGGAATAAGAACGAGGCGAGAGAACGAGACGAAGGGAGTCTTTGGAGGGGGGAAAATCCAAAGGAACTATGAAGCCAAGCGAGCCAAGCGGCTCAAACGAGCCCGGGATCACGTGGCTGACATGGGCTGCGCGCAAGAATCAACCACAGCGACTAGAAAACCAAGCCCCCTTCAGGAACAGGCCAAAACCCAGGTTCAAGCCAGGAACCATCGCGCGTCGGTCCCATCACCGGCGCCGTTCCCCCTCCCGGGAGCCAACGGCGGCTAAAAGATGGCCGTGCCCGCTGGTCGAAACCTGTCGACCGTCGCCGTTTTAGCGCCTTCGGGCCCTGCGCCGTATCGCCCTGAGTGGCGCGGCAACTCAGCGGCTGAAAGGGCTCAGTGAAACATGCAGAGGCCCATGGTAAAAGCGCCGCAAGTGCTGTGCCGACCTTGCGAACTCCATGTTCTCGCTGCCTCAGCCCGACATTTCCCATTCAGCCTAGCTGCTGGTGGTTGATCATGGAAAATCGATAGGCGGAGACGGTCTGGCTGGCACTGCCGATTTACTCCAGTAAGCCTCGGCCATGGTAGACAGACCTAGCTCACTATCACACTAACGCCGTAATCCCCCAGTCCCATGGGGGACTAAGCTAAGCACCGCTCGGTTGCTGGCTCGCGCTGATGTCGCATAACTTCTGGCCCCCGAGCTATTCCCAACAACTGGAGCCAAGAGGAGGGAAAGGCAGTCAGGCTCTGTGTTCAGGCTTTGTGGATGTCACTGATATCACCAACTGCGTCAAGGTTCTGGGGCTCAGACATTGGTCACTGTCAGAGCTATGACCCAACGTGCCTGTGACGGCACAGCAGTTCTTGCATGTTCATCTCTTTAGCTTCCGCATGTCGGCTCCGGGACTCTGACACACCTTGTTGATCCCAGCGACCCGCAGCAGGATGATGTTTGACGTGGGAAAGGATGCGTTTTTGGGAACTGCGGCGACCCCTGACAGGAGCAGGTGGCTCATGGATCAACTAATCCTGCGCAGCCTTCTCCAGCCAAACAGCGCCAGGTGCCAAACGGTCAGACCAAGCTGGTGGGGGTGATTCCCCGAACTCTGATATCGGCGCGATCATATTGGACTGCCCGTGGCCATGCCAATCCTGGTTCCTCCACTCCCGTTCAATCCGGTGTCGAGGACACATGATAGCGAGAGAACAGTCGCCAGATGTGCGCCTTGATGAGTGGATCTGGTCCTCTCTGGTCTTGCATTCGTCAGATGCTCTGGTCCGGGAATCATTCTAGACTACAGCATGACCCCCTTCGCAGTCGAACTACTGTTGGTCGTCTGCGGGGACTGATTTGATAATTGAATTGTTGGGTTTGCGCCTGCATATCCTGACGGGTCTTTCCCTGCCGCAGGAAGGACATGTAGATGTGAAGATGATGTCAACCTTCCCATGATGCAGCAGCAGAAGTCTAATGCGTTCCTTTACCCCCCCACCATCCTCGAGGGGCTCACATCACTTTCGGCCGATGCATGACCATGCTAGTCAGATACACGTTCATTTTCCTATCTTGGGAAAGATGCCTTCCCAGGCTGATCCCAGATGGGGGTGATCTCAGGCTTTCTGATTCGCATAGCCGCCAGTCCGCTGGGAGGGAGGGGGAGCATCATGGGGAAAGCCAAAGGCATTGAGGTGCAGATGCAGACTGAATCATATGTTGGGATACTGTTATATTAAAAAATTCTCTTGGAAGGATGATTCGAGTGTGATGTAGATCGAATCACCAACTGATTCTCCGGTTCAACGGCTCTATTGGTCCGTGTTGAGGGAGGGCTGAGCCCAAAAAAATGGGAAAAGAGAACCGAGTGCAGGGAAAAGAAAGGAAGAAAAAGCAAGATGCAAGCCGTAGTTAGTTTCCCGTTCCTTGCCTAACCTTCTTCTGACGGTCATCCATCCATTCATTTTTGACACTTTTTGCTGCGATGTGATCACCACAACCCCCCCGAACTTACCACCACTGCCACAACAACACAACAAATGATTTTAATATTTTATTTTTTTTACTTAACCGCCATTTAATTTTGCATAGAAAAATTATTTTCGTTAAACGTGATTGGCCGGGTTGAGTCACAAACTGGCCCTACGCCAACTGAACAATTGTGGGCGTAGACTGGCGTTGTTGCGGCACAGTCAACCGCAGTCATCTTTATCATTTGGGATTCTGATTCGAGACTCACCACCACCACAACCACACTTACTGCTCCTACTACGGACGTACCAACGCTTGTTACCACCACCACTACCGGTCAGTAGTCCAGGAGACTGCATCCTCAATTATTTAAAGCCCCCTTCGCACTCCCCCATCGGACAATCAGAACCATCATCAATCCATCAAAGCAATCAAGCAAAGCAAAGCAATCCAGCTAGCTCAGCTCAGCCTGACCACAACTTCTCAAACTTCAATCTCTTCTCACAATCTTCTACTTCCTATTTACTTCTACTCCCGCGCTTTCTAAGTGCTCATCTCTACGAAAACCTTCAAATCCACCAGTTCCAAGTCCCTTCTCCAGTCTTCCTCCCGCCGCCACTATGTGCTCTCAGTACTTCTTCAAGTACGACTGCGGCTGCACTGTAGCTGAGGGTGATGTCGTCTACTGCGCCAAGCGAGGCACCTCCTGCACTGGCGTCAGACACCAGATCCGCCGCCGAGAGGGCTACAACTGCCCTAACCACGGTGGCTAGATAGTTCCATGCTATGCCCTTTCCCCCTCCCTCCTCCGGGGGGTGGGTGCCACAGGTTAGTGAGTTGCCGAAGATCCACTCGCGCCTAACTTCCAGCCCCAGATCCATCCACAAAGGGAAGGGATACGTTCGTGAACTAACGGTTTCTGGCCCCAGGGTTGATTGCTACTCTACCTTACTAGCTAGATTGAACAGCATGGTAAGGTAGTAAGCAGGTATGAGGAGAGGAAGGAAGGGGAAGAAGAGATCCAGATCTGGGTTGTTTTGATGACAATGATTTTTTTTTTTTTTTCACCCATTATCGATATCCGCCCTCGTGTGTGTCTTGTCTGGAGATATTCGCGCGCAGACACAATGGGGGCGGATATTGAGACAAAAGTGACAACCGGATCTGAGATGGGGACGGACGGTTATCTGGCATCTTCTGTTTCTTTTTTCGTCTTTTTTTTCCTATTTTCCCTTTTTGAGTTTCAGTTGTCGATTTCATATTTTGGTTCCCTTTGTTCGCGACTAGCCTGTTGCGAATTGCAAAGAAAAAAAAAGTCAGAAAAAAATCACCAGGGAGGACAATTTGAAGTTTTGAATTGGCATCGCTCGCACCTGATTATCCTGTTTGTTTGTCTTTTTGTTCTCATCATCGTTATCGTCATCATCTGTCGCTGTCATTGAGATCATTTCAGTTTTCTTTCTTTTTTGCTATTTTTCTGTTTCATCATCGCCGCACACACCCCAGATTTGCATCATCTGCATAAGTTAAGTCAATTCGTTAGTTTTTTTGTTCCTTATTCTCTATTTTCCCTTTACGTTTCATACCACTTCCTTCCCGTTCCTTCAATCTATTCTTTGATTTGATTTGACTTGATTTGATTCGATTCGTTTATTATTTTCGGGAGGCACATGTCGATCATCAGGAGGGAACACTAACCCCATCATGCTTATTATTTCCATCGTCATCATCCTGTTTTCTTTTCTCGGCGGCATCTTGTCTCTCTCTCTCTCTCTCTCTCTTCGATAGTTTTCGCAACTTGGCATTGCGCTGCATTGGGGTGTGTGCTTTGCTCTGCTGTAAAGTGTGGAACTCTGTTGTTGTTGTTGTTGTTGTCGTTTGTTTGTAACTACCAAGTAGTTAGTTAGTTTAGTCAGTTTGCTTGTTGGCTTTAGTTGACGCTCATTTTCTATTCTTCTATATTTATATTGGGATCTGAGTAGATTGGTGTGATTTATAGCTACTACGTAGTAGGTAGTACATCAGATGATACTTTCCTGTTTACCCACTCCTGTTAGATAGTAGTACTATATTCTCCAGTATTGGGACTATTTAGTTCCTACTACTATTTATTGATGGTAACGATGATGATGATGTTCACGAGATGTGGATGCCTTGCTGGTGCCACCCTCAACTATATTATTCTAACTTAACTTACCTACTTGTTAGTAATCTCATACTACTATAATAGAGTGTGAGTAGTATGTGGTGCAACTTGATCATATGGTTTGATTTGCACAAGACCCTCCTTTTTTTTTTTTTTTTTTTTTTCCCTCATTCAATTTATTTTCACCTCCATATACATGATTTGGTTTCACATGGGAAAAAGGCAGAAGGACGATCAATGCGAGGAACGAGAGAACACACAGACAAAAAAGATTCACACCAGCGCGGCAATTCTGTCGGACCCAAAACCAACTACTGACTCGGAGGGGCCGACTAGACTACTAGTAGATTATGACAAGACCCATCCGGCCCATGGAACCATGGTTGACGGCGCTTAGGTGTGACAAATCCTCCACCACTGCTGCCTTTGTCGCCCTACTTCCTCGTGGCGCGAGTCACCGGGATGGGGAATTCCTCCACATCGATGGTTACGTTTGCCGCGCAAACCATTGTCATTGCTGAGGAAAATTCCCGGAATACTCTCGGAGATACTGGGGGAGAATGCTGTTGATTCTCCTTCCTCTTCCATTTTGCACCACAATTTTCATCTACGATTTTCATCATCAGGTGTATAGGGGGAAAAGTCTCGCAGCGATTTTGTGTGTGTGCGTACGCGGAATGCAGATAGGCTCCAATGGGTCCTCCTACCCTACACGAGAGGGGGGGAACCAACTAACGAGAAAATTCTCCTCGACCCTGATTAGCACCGCACATCACCGGCTGCATTAGCACCGCATACGCTTTTTATCACCTGATGTCCAACGGGCAAATCAGATGCAGAAAATGGGGCACAGACGCGAGTTGTCCGGTGGCAAGAGATGCTGACTGGTGCCAACGAGTCTCGCCGATGGATGGGGGGTTTCGGAGCCAGTAAGGGTAGGAACTCCGCGCGTATATCGGGGATTCTGAAAATCCAGTGCAACTGGGGCCTGCCAGGCGCTAGGTCGGGGTTGCAGTGTCCAACGACAATGCTTGAAAATTCGAATGCAGTGTAGCTGTGCCCCTCTTTTTCTCCGGCTTCGCTGGCGTAGAAAAGAAGAACACAGCGTCAAAGTGATGGGGGTGTACGGTTTCTGGAGCATTGTTCCGACCACATGAGGAATCAGTGTTGTGTGGCGTACCCCCTTCGCGTCTTCATGTGTTATCGGCTGCTCTGTTTCTGAGAGAAACGCGGGCATACGGCACTTGGATCGGCTGGGGGGTGTAAATTAACAGGTTGTTAAACCTGGTCAGGCTTCAAGGCAGATACCGGGGGTAAAAGTTTAAAAAGTTACAAGAGAGGGGTCATTAGCAAGCCAGGTTTACCTGTTCATCCCTTCTATAGAGGGGAAAGTCCTTTAGTAGGCCAATAGTAGCTGGTACTAGACTCGCCAGTGTTGGGTCCCAGATAGCCTAGCTCAGTCGTGATCGAGCCGCGCCGATGAATAGCACTTGTTGGTCACAGTATTGTTGTACGGCGGTCCCAGAGCGACCCCTGGAGCAGCAGGCCTGCGCTGCCAGTGTACACCGCTTGAGTAATGCTCAGAACAGCGCCGCAGAGCTGTGCCATCACCCTTAGACCGGCGATGGGCGGGAGGGACCTGGGGAACCAGAATGCTGGGACAGTAAACCTAAAGCGGTGTGGGCACCGACTGCGCCGCTCAGGCCAACCAAAACTTGTGGCAGGGTCATTTGTAGATCCTAGGAAAGCCGGCATTTAAGTCTGGTCACTGTCAGGCTCCATTGTGACCGTTGGAGGCCAAAAGAAGGCATTGTGGCAGCATTGGATTGTCGTTGGGGCGTTGATGGCGGTCACGTTGTCGTGATCTCACGTGACCCGCACCAGCGGCGAGAACCGCCGAAGCGCGACAAAAACAAGCGCCAACTCCGACTTTCCGATTCTCGACGTCACCGACAAGAATGGTCTGGAAAAGCTAATCGGCCTGGTGTTCGCTTTGTTTCAGATTCTCTTCCAGGGTTCTAGAATCAATTTCCGAATCCTTTTTCCCTCTTTCTCTCTGGCATCACCCACGGATAGAAGGCCGTTTTGCACATGTAATGTCCATAGAAGTTGACTGGGGCGCCGCGACCTCCGGTCCCGACGGAGAGGCTCTGGCCGAGCGCATCCGCTCTTTCATTCATGACAAGTTCCAGCAGGTTGCTCTGCCACGCTTTATCCGATCAGTGCAAGTTCATTCTTTCGACTTCGGGACGATTCCACCTGAGCTCGAGATCAAAGACCTTTGCGAGCCGTTCGCCGACTTCTATGAAGAAGATGAAGATGATGAAGCGTCTGATGTATCCGAGGGGCTTGTCTCCGGGCACGGTTCGCCGTGGCATGGGACTCATCCAGAGCTTAATGAATCTTCTTTCCGCGACGACAATGCGATAAATCAATCGCTGCGTGATCCTTTCACCGAAGGCTTTCAACCCTCGGCCTTGCGGTCTCCCATAGCTCTTAGCGACCATCTCAACCCGCATTTCCGCTCCGGCACTCCTGGTATACCCGGAGGTACATCGACCCTAGGCTACCATCTGATGTCACTTGGTGGACTTTCAGGAACGCAGACACCCCTTGCTGCAGTTGCAGGCGGATCCCCGTTCGCAGGCGGATGGAATGATTCTGGGATGATGGGCCCTGGCAATAGGGGGCGTCCACCGCCTCCAATTTTTACTGCCCACCAATCGCGTCCGGAAGCCGACATTGACAGCAGTAATCCGACTTCGCGACCATCAACATCCAGCACGTTACCTTCTCATCCGTCCGGGTCCAGTAAGAACAATGGTGATGGAGCAGGCGGTCCTGACCATGGATCACACCCCGAAGAGCATGGGCATTTAGATGACCCTACTTCGGAAGAGCCTCTGCGATTTCCTCGAATGCGAGAGCGCCGGCCCGAGGATTTCCAAGTACTGTGTCACGCCAAATACGCGGGTGATGTGCGGCTGTCATTAACAGCGGAAATTCTTCTGGACTATCCCATGCCCAGTTTCGTGGGACTACCCTTGAAACTAAATGTTACAGGGATCACGTTTGACGGTGTTGCAGTGGTCGCGTACATCCGCAAGCGGGTCCACTTCTGCTTCCTGTCATCCGAAGACGCGGACGCGCTGATTGGGTCTGATCAGCCGGATGTAGGTACTCAAGCCGAGTATTCACGGTCTGGCGGGGATGCGACCGTCTCTGCAAAGCGACAAGGTGGACTGCTGCAAGAAATCCGAGTTGAAAGTGAGATTGGCCGGAAAGAAGATGGCAAGCAAGTCCTCAAGAACGTCGGCAAGGTGGAACGGTTCGTGCTCGCACAGGTGCGGCGGATATTCGAGGAGGAGCTCGTCTATCCTAGTTTCTGGACATTCCTGGTCTAGTTGCGCTGTAGATATGGGCCGCGGAAGAACATTGTCAACTCGCATTGGTCTAAACCCGTGAGGATTTAGGGTTTGATCGACTATTTGAGTCCTACCGTGTGCTCCAGACCGCCTCGAGCCCACCGATTTGTCAGAAACAGGCACTAAGACTGCAGTGTTTTATATCCAAATTAGCGCATGCATCTCTCCTCCCTAGCGATTGAAGAATCATGCCTAAACTTCCTTCAGGGGCAATGTAGCCGCAAACCTCATCGCTTGCGGGAAAAGCGTTCCTGGCACAATTCCTTCCTGTCAGACCCCACGCGCATCTCTGTCATACCTGCCAATCATCTTAGCAACAGACTGCGCTATCGCCACCCCCTTGTTTTCTTGTGACGTAGCCCAGTCAATGTAAGTAATTCTCACTACTACCTTATACCTGGTAGTGGCAGCCAAGCGAAATCCAGGTTCCACTCAAGGAGACCTGATGACCACCACCCCCATGAAAAGTACACCAAATTCATAGCTAGCCAATCTCTCATGAAGCGAATGAAACAGACAGCCGACATTGGCTACCGTCCCATTATTCCAATCCCTAGTCTGAGACATATAGTTACCTGGTCATGCCAAGTTAGCTGACATGAACCCAACCGAACTCTGCAGACCAAACCAAACTTCATGATCCTGTGACAGGCCCACTCACCTCGGAACGGCCCCAGGCGGGAAGAGTAGGGCGGGAACCAGTGGATTTTCTTCACGCCCTCGCTTGCTCACTCCATGCATTTACTGTCTTTCTCTTTATTTCTTGTCAGCGTATGCCTTAGTGAGTGGGGGCGTCTGTTAGCTGGTATCTGCTTGACTTGTCTCTAAGGTTTAGAGCAGGTTAGCTGACGGAATTTGAGGGGAACGTTGAGGGATTAATGGCTTAGCTTGTAGTTATTGTACGATGTGATTAGAGCACTTATTGTTCATCGTAAGGTGGGACTCATCCGATTGCCACGATTAATTCAGTGTGAGGGGCGTGGGTGGGGGAGGTTGTTGCAAACGAGTTCGCGGCACAGTAAAAGCTGTTGTTGCTTTTCACGGGGTGGAGGAGAAGGAATTGTAGGTTTCTTGAAGCAAGTAGATGAAGATTCTGGCTCTGAAACATTGTGCTTGAGGGTTAATTGGAGTGTTTGAGTTCTGTGCTTGGTTGTTGCCTCAAGGAAGCTGCGGTGTTGGTCATAGAAGAATGATGGAGCTGCGCGCAGGTGCTTCGACGTGATGCCCGCCCTGTTGGTACCTCTTTCTACATTGGGCTCTGACCTGAGAGCTGATTACTACTGTATTTATTGCATATTGTGTATGGTATATGGTCGTATCCATGGTGTACTGCTCTTATATTTACCGAATGCCTACATTTTGACATAGACGGTGGAATTTTTGCTCCATTGTGAGTTGTAACCCAGATAACCCAGATCTCAAGTTTTGCAATGACAACTTCTTCCCCGAGAATTGCACCAGTATGATTCACTCCACCAATGCGCTCAAATAACAGCTGGTTCATCCGACCACCAGGTGGTCGTTGTCAACATTCCGCCTCATCCAAACCCGAAAGATATGGTAACCGAAATGCACATGAAAGGGTAGCTTGCGGACAGCGGGATGTTCTATCAATCAGCCTCAAAAAGCGATCAATTCACAGTCCCGACTGGCCTAGCAGGCTGACAATTGTATTTCCCCGCGGCACACCCAAGCGTCGTCTACTGGTCCTTCTTGGGAGCCTCACCCTTCTCACCAGACACCTCATCACCAAGCTTGTGGTACTCGCGAGTGAGACCCTCACACTGCTTCTTCAGGGTCTCAATGTCACGGTCCTTGGCTGCGAGCTCCTCCTTGAGACGGCCGATTTCGCCGATCTCACCGGCCTGCGCAAGACGAGCGGAGTCCTTGCCGCCAGCCTTCTTGTCACCCTCAAGAAGTCTGACTCTGTCCTCAAGACGAAGGACATCGAGGATCATGGTGTAAGTGCGGTTGAGGATAAGAGACAGGAAGAGGGTGAATCCACAGAGGTACATGTTGCGCTGCGAGTAGAACTTGCGGGCCTGGACTTCCATACGATCGGTACCGAGAGCGGCGGCTCTGTGGCGAAAGCTAGGTCAGTAATTGTTTCAGTGCAATGCTAAAAAGGGTGTGGACCGTCGGAAGCATACCCCATGGTGCCCCCCTCTTTGCCGAAAGAAGCCAGCTCCAGCTGCACACGGTATACGCGGTTGACGCTATCGATGAAGAGGATAAGGATAAAGATGAATGTGATCTATAGCTCAATAAGTATTTCCGAATGCAGGACCATGCCGAGTTACATACCTTTAATCCGTATTGTAATTTAGCTACTATCGGACTTTCCGAAATGAAAGCGAAGAGCTTCCTCTTCACGGTGAATGGAAGAGGGATGATGAGGCCCATGAAGACCGCCATCTCAAACACCAACAGGCAAAAAACCTATAACCATGTTGTAAGCATATGTTGGTTCGACACATTATCTGATGGCCCGGGAGTGCGCGGGTCAGGGGCTGCAGGCTGCAGGCTGCAACAATCCCGAGTTTCATGCCATTGCGACGAGGGTTAACAACAAATGGCAATACATACAAGGCTGTAGTAGAGAGTCATTTTGTCTAGGATTGCAATCCAGGTAATCTTCCGACAGATGCTTCAATATGCAAGTTTGGCTGGAAATCCAGCTGCGGTTGTGGGGTTTGTTTTGCGAAGATAAACAAAAGTACACGGTAACACGCAAGAAGAGTTGAGGAACCCAAGAGGTCGAGCAGGCGTAGAGCGAACAATGTTTGTCGAATAAGTTCTCCTAGCTAGTATACTGGCATGAACAGTGCCAGAACAGAGCAGGAAGGTTAGGCAGTTCAGGAGATGAGGTGGTCTTTTTGCAGTTTCTGGTGAGAGGAAGACGTCATTACCGCCCGGAGCTGTGATCGTGCACGTGACTCTGTCGGCCGCGGCTCAGCCTGCCGTCTACGTCATAGCAGCAGGGTTTATCTAAAGTATGTATCTAATTCTGTTTGACTGCACATGATTGCTAGCTGTGGTATGTTCATCATCTATATGCGTTAATCCTAATCTAGAAAGCATGTGCTTAACCCTCCGCTTCGTCATACGAGTTGGACTTGTGCTTGGGCTCGAACTTGAAGTCCTTATGAGCCGGTCCGAGGAACATCTCCCTAGAAGGTTGTTAGAATAAGTCCGAAGATTGAACTTGTTAGAGGAAGATACTTACGAGATCTTGAGCCAATCCTTGTAGTTGGCACTGGCCAGCAGTGTCTCAAGCTCATTCCGGCCTCTGAAAGCCGGGGGCCGGTCGTTGATGTAGGGGGGAAGATGCTCGAGCAACCCGATGGGTACATAGCGACGAGTGAAGCTCAGCCATTCCATCAAGAAGCGTCTAGTCGTACCGACACCGTGCTCATCGGATCCCCATGCCTCCAGACCATACTTACAGAACTTCTCAATCATTGCCAAACGTTCCGTAGCGGACTTGTCAAGGTACTGGCCCGCCTGGATTTCCTCGAAGAGCCAAGGCTTGATCAGAGGACCACGACCAAGCATAACAGCATCAACACCAGCATTGTTGATGTGGGTATCATAGTCAACATGAGAGTAGCAGTCACCGTTGCCCAGGAAGTAAACCTTGCCACCGTTTGGCTGGGTCCGGGCATCAGGCTCCCGGATGGTATCCGTCACCGCGTCAGTCTTCTCGTTCAAGCGCTTGATCAAGGCGGCACATTCGGAGATGTATTCCCAATCAGCTTGTCTGGTGTAACGCTGCTGTCTGCTACGACCGTGAAGAGTAATAGCTGCTGCACCTGCGGCGCCGTCGTGATGAAGCAGACTAGTTTCATAGCCTCCAAGCAGCAAACGCTCCGTCAGTTTCAAGGCGTTCGGATTGTTGTCCTTCGTTCCCATACGGATCTTGACAGTGATAGGAATCTGATCCGAAACAGTGTTCATACCACGAATGATCTTCTCGAGCTTCGACGGGTGCTCCAAAAGAGCAGAGCCAGCACCGTCCTTGAAGACGAGGTCAATAGGGCAGCCACAGTTCAGATCGATGACACGCAGGTTGGGAGTAACTTTAGCCAGTGCCTCTGTAGCCTTGAAGGCTTGCCAGGGCTTGTTTGCTGCAATTTGAGCACCAAACTTCATGTCCTTGGAATTATCATAGCCCTGCACGATGTCTGCCCCGGGCAGCATCGTGGGAGGGAGCATCTCCGACTCATGGGCTCGCATTAAAGCCCATTCCGACTTGTTACCCTGGATCAAGGGCAAGCTCATTGCCATCTCAGAATAGGTGAATTGTGCGCCAAGCTCAACGCAAAGTCTTCGGAAAGGCATGTTGCCCTGGGTAGTCAAAGGCGCCAGTGCCGGTGTCTCGGGTCCGAAGTACAGTCGGCGCTTCTCCGATGGCATGAATGGCGGCTCAACGTAGAGAGCTCGGTTTTCCTCCTTTTCCTCCTTCTTCTCGGCATCCTTGTTCTCGGCATCCTTAGTCTCGGTATCCTTGGTCTCTGCATCCTTCTCTCCATCCTTGGTCTCAGCTCCTACAGGCGCAGCACGATGGCGCTTGTGGAGCTCCCTCTCAATGGTTCTAGATGTGTTTTCCAACCAATTGCTGTACGGTCCAGCTCTCGGGAAATCCATTTTTCTCCTTGCCAAAGCGATCTTATCCTCCATCGAAGCAACATTGACCGCCCCGTCCTCTCCAGCAAACGGAACAAGCCGCTGAACCTTCTTCTTGCGCTCTTCATCCTCAATAAGAACCAACTCTTTCCTCCCATCGGCCGTCTCGCGCTCCTCCGAGTGTGAACCGACGAAGCGACATTTCCAGCCCACGAAACACTTTCCGTTGATATCCCAGACAGGACATACGCCATTGAACGTCGTAAGGTCTTCCCGTTTGTGCTCCTTCAAGTATTTCCGCAGGTCATGCTCATACCGACACTTCTCACCAAAAGTGCACTCGGCAGGAGAGAACTCAGGCCTGAAGTTCACACTAGAACACAATCCCTTCGCATCCTCGGATCGACCGAACGTGCGGTTCGTATTCTGACCAGTCTTCTTCTTCTTGTTCTTCTTCCCGTTCTGCTCATCGGCGCGTCCATCGTGGTGCGCAGCTTCGGCGGCATCGTCTGCATTATCATCGGGATTTCTCTGGCCTCTTGTGGGTTGTTGGTCGAGAATGAACCTAGCAGGGAAAGTCAGTTAGGATGGAGCGCGCGCATCGCATACAATTTTGGTCACCACATACTCAGGCTTGATAGGAGCAACGCCCTTCATGCGCGGGGCGGGCGCATCAGCCGTTTGCCCATTAGAATCCGCCAAATTATCGAGTCTGGCCTTCTTCGAGGGTGGCTCCTGGGCCTGGTCTGCAGCGGCATCGCCATTCTCAGGCTCACGCTTGGGCGCATTAACCTCCGGAGCGGGCAGCTGTTCCTGAGCGGTTGTTGGCTCCATTGTGAACAGTCGCTTTCCTCGAAAAAAGATATAAAAAAAATGACCTTATTTAATCACCAAAAGAGCTGAACTGCGCAATGCGACAATTGGGCTAGAATCAGTGCGTCGTGTAATCCAGACCCTTTCCGAATTCGAAAAGATGCCGGTCGGTCCTCGAGAATCTCCGCAATCAATCAATCTAATGCGGGCAAAAATTTCGAGGGGTGCAGTTTGTAATGTTTGCATTGACAGTGGCGTTGGCGGCAGTTCCAGCGTGGCGGGACGGAGGGCGGTCAAGGCGTTGCTTAGTAGATAGTAGTGGCGGTGCGGACCTGCTGTGTTCTGAACTTCTGACAGTCAATCCCTGAGGTGCTGTTACGATGGGCGGTATACGCAGTAAAACGGAAGCGATCCTTTGCCGTCGCCTTACCGGGCAACCTCCTTCCCCCCCATCCATTACAAACGTCGAACAGACTAGCGTAATCTTACTTTACATACTGAACAAGAGCCCCACCGAAGTTGAACCTAGTCTTGCAATGCTTACATTTTCTGGGTTTCTAGAAGAACTCAAACGACCCGGTTGATGGAGGGGGGGGTAGATCAATGCTGAGAAGTCAGCCACCTGTCTGTCGTTAACTTACTAGCTAACTAACTTATTAAGTAGTTAGCAAAAGCCGTTTGGTCTCGCGTCGAGCACACCCACAATCACGGTTCCAATCAAGGCATAGTCTCCGTTCTATGCTGTCGCTCCGCCCATCGCTGAGATCGATCGTTACTCGTCGAATGTTACGACGACTGTGGGATACGCAATCCACCACAGTGGCAAGGATCATCCATACATACATACTGCTGAGGACAAAAATCACCATGCTACAAAGTATTGAAGACAGAATACTACATCCGAGATATATCCGACTAGCAACCATCAAACACCCGCCCTCAGTCATCACGTTCACTAGTACTACATACAGTACTTATTATCGCTGCACCCCCTCTCCTTCTTAAACTTCAGTAACTATCCAGAAAGTCAATTCCATCTTGGCAAGAAGGCCACAGGACTACGAATACGCCTCTAGCATTGGGCGATTTCGAAACGATGGCGAAGATCTCCTGCGCCCCTCACTTTTAGTCACTCTGCTTAGCGCCTTGTACCTGCTGATCTGATATGTCCTGATGAGGATTAACTACCCTCCCCCCATGCATCATGTTACATGTACATTGACTTTCGTATGTCGTGTAAGCCTAACTCTACGGAATGGAGTCGGGGGGGGGGAAGGAAACGTCGGAATGCACCTGCTTATTTACTCAAGTAGTAGTTTAGTGCATAGTTACTGTATATGGTTGGCTGTTTATGGCCTTGACCAATTTCTGAGTGCTATTTACGTGTGCTGTATACTGGTTTCGCTCCCCCCCCCCTTTTTTCGTATGTGGATGGGTGGATATTATGCGTATAGGCTGCTGCAGTATAATCTGCATGAGGCAGGTACAGGTTGAAGGGGTTGTGGTTCGTTAATTGTTGTAAGGTGGATAGATCATGGTATCCACATCAAGGGACAAAAAGCACATGTGGCATTCCAGGAACCGTGGACTTGGAAATGCAAGGGTGGCAAATTGGTTCTATTTATTGCTGAACAATACGTACTTTCTTATATATATTGGTCTTTCTGGGATTGTATGACTCTTGTAAGCTTACGCAACTGTACGACATCGATGCGTAGACTATTTGAAGATATTGATTCAGCTCCGGGGTTGTTTGGTAGGCATCATGTGCTGTGAGTAGTACCATGTATGTAAGGGAGTACTACTAATTCATGTACATAATCTACCATGTATGGGATCCGTCACTTGTGTTCCCCAGTCATCCCAGAATGCAGGTGCCTGATTAGAGTAGCGGCTGTAAGGCGACTACTGCGTGCTGTAGGAATGCTCAGTAATCAGAGTGCGGCTGGCAGCAATACTCCGAAAAGCGGTATATACTTTATAGCGTACACGCGCAGTCCTCGGGGGAATACCTGGTGGATACAAGCGCCTCACTTGACTCGAATTAGGTTCGGTAAAACGCAGCCGAGGTATTCGAGGGTTGAGACATGGATGAAATAAACGGATGGCGCTTGACAGGGGTAGGGGACCAGTAGAGCCGGGGCATCGGTTCAGCTTGCCCAGATGAGTATGAGATTGCAGAACATACAACCATCCATGTCGTCTGTAACCTGAAGCTGCGTAGTTGATATTGGCTTGGTTAGTTCTATCAATCCAACAGCAGAGTCAGTTCATCAATGTTGCATGGTCAGCACTTGCGCCCGAAAAGGCAAGTCACTCAACCGATAATGCGGTGAAAGACGGAAAGTAGCCGCTAACCATTAGAAATGCTTCTTCAGTGCTTCTAGTGTTGGAGCCAAGAACACACCTCCAGGATATGCCCTAGACTAATTGCATGATTGAGAATGAATGAGAATTCATCCTCCCCGATTTTCGTGGCGATCGGCACCCGGAGGAAAAGGGGCTTGGTCCCATTCCTGCGATCTCTCACGTCCCAGCCAATACCAGGCGATCTGGTCTATCAGCAGACCATGCTGAGCGGGAGAACGGTGTGTATGTTACTACTGCTAGGCCATTTTAGCGCCCAAGTCGTGAGGGCTTGCTCTTCGATACACCGATTTATCAGTACTTTCGTTCAAGAAACGCCCATACAGACCGCCCATTTGCCTCGTTCGCTTACAAGTGAGGCTGCTATGATATTGATGTCATTGATATATGGCCAGTGCTGAAAAGGAGCGATAAGTGGCCGTGCTTCGTGCTTATCGTAATATCGGTTCTAACTCCGCCATACTAGAGATCGGGGCTTACTGAAGAGGGTATCGCGGAGTATAACGTTAGACGGAGGTCCTGGAATGTCCGATGCGAATGATAAGGAAGGTAGCCAATGTTAACCACCAGCCAGGTCACCCAATAGCACCATAGGAAAGTGTTGTAGCCCCTGATACTAAACGCGCGCTGAAATATGCAGTGACTTGCACCTGGACCTCCATTTTCCGGGTCACTTCCACCACAGGAGTTCCTGAATATCAAGACCCCGGGTTGAGTACTGAATTTCGGGTTCTGTGGGGGTTGCGTTGGTGAGTGTGTCTAACCGACGCACCTGGCTTGGTGTGGCATGACAAGCTTTGGACCCTTTCTGACACCGCCGGAATGAATGATCCAGGTTCTAGGACCGGTTCATCGGATAACTTCAGGGTGTGATGGTACTATCATAGGCTACGAGTCCCCGGAGGGATCTCGACCAGGATATAGCGCGCATGTGAACCACGGGTAGGTAGCGTGCTTGCTGGGGGTAGTACGAGACATTCAAGGCTCCGAGAGGAGTCTCAGTGTTGCACAAGCATATTGTTTTCTGGAAGGGTCGAGTCATTAACTACTTCTTCTGAAGAGCGGATGAGCCCGAAATCGAGTAAAACATATCCGCACGGACAGACGAGATGAGACGACAGTGGGATTGGTGGATGGATGGATGGATGTTGCAAGAACAACGCAGATGAATGAGCTGGTTGAACTTGCTAGTAATTAGTAGTTGTATAGTAGGTAGGTAGCACCACCACCAAAAGTAGGTCCAGCTCCGTAATAATACAGAGACCGGAAAATGGAGCGGGGACCAATCCCCGGTAATACAGTTTCATACAAACAGACGATACAAGGGTGACGCCCCTCTGGATCTCCTGCAGCAGTTAGCTACACACCAGTCCACCGCCGTCATCATCATCGACTTTTCGAAGAAGCGCTAGTGACTCGACTAGACTGCAAGCGGTGTCAAGTGCATTGCTACTAAAGGGGGCTCCACCTGCTAGAAGCCGAAGGGAACCAGAAGCTGTTTGCTGGCCACTGGAGTCAGTGGTCGAAACCTCCCATGGATCCTCCGCCATCCTCATACGTAATAGTAAGTCGCAAGAAGATTCGTCGTTGGGCACTGGGCAGATGCTGGGCAGCTCTGATTGCCTGGAAATAGTTATGGGTGGCCCCAGCCAGACCATGACTAAGGCTGTTCTTACCCAATCCAGATTAGTGCGGCCATTGTCCGGGATGTACCGTAATTTAGGTCATGGACGGACTTGACCAGATTGAGTTGTAATAAAACGGTAATGTTTGAGAAGTCAACCCTTTCCTAGTAATAGTAAGTACGTAGTAGTGAAGGCGTGGTGCCGTGAATTGCCCCCTCCCTCTCTCCGCCGGCAAGAAACCCAAGACAGGTCCGGTCACTGTCTAGTCATTATTACCTGGTGGTCCTTTCCGGTCGTTGCTTGCTTGCCGCCAGTTGCTGGGCTTCCTGACTTCGCTGCTTGTCGGTGAAATTGGACTTGTTGTTCCTCGTGTGTGCGTGTGTGTTGCCCACACCCTTCCCCCCCCATTCAACTCAATTTCCCCATCTTTACACCATCATCATCATCTTCTCATCATCCTCATCTACTTCTATTACCATCATCTTCTTTTTCTGCATCTCAGAATTTGTTTTCTTCCCTTCTGGTGATCGAATCGATCAGTAATATCGTTACGTCCCGCCACCTTTCCCGAATCCGTCACAAGTTCCGCAGCCAAAGCGGGACAACATCCGAGGGTGGTGGACACTCCTTGTGTGATCCCGCCCAAAACCGCCGTCGTGGAATCGTTCCTTCATGCTCGGGTCGTCAGAAGCGACGCATAGTCCTCCTCCTCCCTCACTTCATTACTCTCCCTCTGTCGGGGACCTCGATTGCGCCTCTACCAGGGACTCGACCCCCGTCACCACTCCCCTCGGGTTTGGCGTACCGTTGCGCAGACCGGATAGGGAAAAGCTACTCTCGGATTCCTCGTGGACTCGAAATTCACTCGACGTCGGCGGCGACACGTCCTCACCGTACTTTGACAACCAGCAACTACACCCTCACTTCGATTCAGATCTCGACTTCCCTCTCTTTCCTTCCTCCCCCATACAAACCAACACCATGACCGGTGCAGCCGCTCCGATCGACATCGCCACCCGCCAGAGTTCCGTTTCTCCTCCCGGACAGCAGGCGTCGAACCTGACGTCTGCTCTGCAGAGAGCGGGTAATGGAGAACGGACAGGCAGTTTATCCCATGCGAACGGTGTTGGTCTCAGCGTCTTCAAGGCCCCCCCTCCTCGCAAGGACTCCATCGGTGCAGCTACGGCACAATGGGGCAACGGAACGAAGCCCATCTCAATGTCCGGCTCCAACCGCGATAAACCCCGCCGTGAGTCTTTGGCAGGAAGCTTAGTTGGTGGGATGAGCTGGGGTGGCGTGTCTGTTGGCAGTTGGATTCGCGATGAGTGAGTGTCCATGTCGTTATGGGAACCTCTACGATTTCCCGTGATCGCGCGAGTGCTTTGGCCACTGGAAGCTGACGATGAATCATCTAGTATAATCATGACCGGCACATCTCCGTTCACTTTTCAGTCACCGTCATTTCATTCATCCTCATATTTACCCAAGCTGGAAGCGAACTTTATGCGCGACTTCAATTGCTGTGGGGTGACTCTTCCGACGCTTCACGATCTTTTGCAGCACTATGAGGAAGCTCACGCCACCAAGTCACCTCAGCAGGGCCACCGCCCCAGTCAAGGCGATAGTAGAGCGGCCCTGGCTGCGGTGGCGATGGCGCAGCAGCAACAAGGCCAGCAAAACAATAACCAGGGCCGTGGATTGCAGCCAGATAGGACTCTGGACTTGCAGCGGAAAATGAGTCAGCTTCCACACACTCAGCAGCATTCGGATATGGATACCATCGATGACATGGAACTTGATGAGCCAATGGGTGATCACGATGCCGCCACTGCACAGCTGTTCGCGCCTCAGTCGCGTGATGGAGGCCAAGGAGGTTTTGGCAGTACCAACCAAAGGGTTCCGCATCTGAATTTGTCGATGCTTCCAGGACACCAAGGGTTCAAAGGCTCTCAGCCCGGTACTCCCGTTGCCTCTGGGCGCCCTCTGTCGCTGCAGAACAACCCAACGGTTTCTTCCGTTAATACACCTACTTTGATGGCGAACCCTCTACAGAACTCACAGTTCCGGACCACACCAGACTCCTCTGCCCCCGGGACGCCGGCAGAACTGGATGACAGCATGCTTGGTGGTTTCGGAGACCTGGCTATGCAAAACCCGATGATGCAGGGTCAGTCTCAGTTTGGAAGGTTCGCCGGAAACAACAACGATATGGTAGACTTGTGTATCGACGAACCAGCCAAACGACTGTTTAGTCCCACTGGCGGAATCAATACCCCCAATGCTCACTTTAAGCTCAGTGGAGCACAGTATGGCCCTAACAGTGAAATTGCTCGACGAATCCGAGAGCAACAGTTGTTGGCGGGTGTTCCTGATACCACTGCTCTCCTTCCCAACGAGGAACCCAAGCCTTTCCGGTGCCCAGTCATTGGCTGCGAGAAAGCGTATAAGAACCAAAATGGTCTGAAATATCACAAAGCTGTAAGTTCTTTTTCCAAGCCAAACCATCCTTAGCTTGTCTAATCATTCCCTAGCATGGCCACAACAATCAGCAACTTCACGACAACGCAGACGGCACCTTTTCTATCGTCAACCCCGAGACATCAACGCCATATCCTGGAACACTTGGTATGGAGAAGGAGAAGCCCTACCGCTGCGAGGTCTGTGGCAAGCGTTACAAGAACTTGAACGGTCTCAAATACCACAAGTCGCACTCGCCGCCCTGCAATCCTGATTTCCAGCTTGCTGCAGGCAGGAATTTGGCTTTTGGTGGAGGCGTCATGCAAGGGCAGAACATCAACGTTGCTGGGGCTGGCCTACCTGGCATCGGTGAAGAGGGTCTTTTATAAGTTCCCCATATCACGAACGACATGCAATCCAATTTTACGCATCATTATTCCCACACTAATTCGACACGACGATCTCTGACGGCCTCGTCGCGCGGAATACGATTTAATGACAGGTTTGGTGGCTTGGAGTTAATGGTATGAACGTCATGTCAATCGCGGTTTGGGACGACCGTGCTTTGGTCTGGTAATTAATCAGTCCTTTTTTAAAGACTTTGAAGAAGTTCTTCCACGACTTAACAGCCGATAGACGTATCGGCGTGGATTCTCTGGATTCTTTTGCTTGCTCCTGGCATTTGCTTAGCTTTGACGGTTATGTGTATTCGGGATCAAAACAGAAAGTTGGGTATTTCATTTGTCGACTTCCATTGTCACGTCTCCAATCCTGGGCTCCTTCGCCATCCGCGGTGCCGAATTACTTAATCAGAACCTTCAAAGGCGTGTCATGCCCTGCAGAAAAACTTGGAGTACGGTTACGATGGGACGACTTTGGGTTTGAAAAAAGAACGAAAAGCAATTTAGCGCAATGGTTTCTACTGGATATGCAAAGTTGGAGCAACGCGGTGGTTGTCGTTCTTTGCCTTTTCTTTGGCATAATGAGGTTTTCGCTGCTTGGAGACAAGGGAAGACCATGAAAAAAAAAGTAACTACTGGTGGTACTCTGGCGTCAATCAGTTCTGTAGATAATGTTTTTTCTTTTTCTTTTTCAGACCGGCTTCTGGCTCCTACACTGCGTTTTTGTGTTTCTATTTCCTTTTATCTTTGCTGATCATTTCTTCCTCCCGTTTTTGCGTCTCTTGTTCTTATTTGCCTGTGGTGTTGTTGGAGAAACATGGGACTTTCGAACTGACTGGCTGAGTCGCTGATAGATACTATTCCTCGCTATGTTCTTGTTGCTTTGAGTGTTTTGCCTGTTTGCTCCTTTGAGATTCCCGTTTCGATTGTTGAAGGTTTGACGTAATGTTGTTTGCTTTGCGGAAAAAGGGCTCCTTTTCTTTTCTTAAACAAAAAAAGTCTGAACATGAATCAATTTCACTCCATATTATCATTACCTCTCGGGTATACTTGCTTGATAGTCGACTAATAGGTTAGCTAACTAGTTACTGGTTTCGATTATGAATGTCATGTAATTAATTCTTGATCTGGGTGCTACGCTGGTGTAATTGAGTGATCTTTGGGACGTTGATTTACTTGGGACGTAGTTCCTATCTCACTTGGATGTACGTGATCGATTACTTTTACTTGTTGATAGCATAGGGTGGTCCTTGGCCACTTAATAGGCTGCTCTTTATCAAGATAAGTGTGATGTTCAGAATATAGAAGAAAACAATCTGTTTCATTCATTTCAGATATGTTACTCTAGTACAGCTTGAACTTGAAAAGGAACCGCCGTCCACCTCATAAGCGCCACATACATCCAATGTGGGGAAGAAGCAAAGAGTATGAGGAAAGTAAATAAAAAAAAAGTGTTAATCAAGGACAAAAAGGGAAAAAAAGAAACAGAAATCCCGGTGTTGTTTGTTTACTTCGTGAAAATCAAATCGTCATTTGAGGCAAATTTCCGCTTGCACCGACCATCCAGACATAGTTGGAAGAAGAAAAAGGAACCAGATATGGGTTTCGTTGCTCATAGGATCCTGAGTCAGATCTGGGGTTTTTACATGCTGAGTATAAACGAGGCCAGTAGAACATAGAAAGAGGTATGGAGAATGGAATACACGTTCTAGGAGTTATCCGGAGTAAATGGATGATGCTTACGCACATCTACCACTCGAATTCTCCTTGACCTTTGTGGAAGACGTACCTGTTCACTTGTTAGCAGGAGGTTAAGTGGAATGAGTGATATTGATGTACTTACTCCTTGCCACCAGTGGTCAGGATACCATCTTTGAGGGTGCACTTCCACTTGTTCTTCACACGTTGAACCTTGTCATAGGTGCAAAGCATGACCTGGCCTACGGCATCTTCAGCATCATGATCCTCAGCAACAAGGTCGTCAGGGTCGTCAAGATCAGAATTGATGGCATCCTCATCATCCTCATCCCTTTCATCATCACCACCTGGGCCGTCGAATTGAGCACCGAGGACCTTGGGTGGATGAGATGAGGAACCAGCAACTGCTGACACATCAGCTGGCTCTGCTTGGGTAGCCACCAGCCCACGAGTCGATGTCTTCGATGAGTAGTCATGCTCGTCGAGAGGCAGCATCAGACCACCACCTTCTAACTGTAGCATCTGTTGTCTGAGATGGTCACGAAGAAGACGATCACCTTCTCCTCCCTGGCGTTCGGCAGCTTCCCGCCTCCGTGCAACCTCAGCCTTCCATGCAGACAAGGCATCATCACCGGCACCGTCCGTTTGAGTATTGCCGACAGGGGGTTGAGACACAGGGGGGTACCCCGGTTCTTGCTTGATCTGTGGAGCCTGCCCGTTGGGTACATGCTGCATAGGTTGGGGGCGCGGCTGGCCAGGTATGGCCATGGCTGCTTGGGCCTGTGACTGTGCTTGCAGCTGACTGACTGAGTTAGCGGCTGCAGCTCCGTAACGCTGACGAAGCATATTGGCAGCTCGTTCTTGAGCAGACTGTGGGTTGGAGGAGTTTGGCATCATCATATTATTCATCGGCATCATCCCAGGCTGACCGTTGACGCCAGGTTCGGTCTTGATGTGAGGTTGTTGTTGTTGACCCATGGCATTGGGGCCGGCCCCAACCGGAGCAGGAGCCTGGAGCGGAGGTGCCGTAGCGGGAACAGACTGAGGGATGGGTTGCTGTTGAGGAGGGGGAGGAGGAACATGATGCTGTGGCTGAGGGGGTGGACCAGGCCGAGGAGCATTTGACGGCACAGTTGCGGTGGGAGGGAGGATATTTTGTGTCTGAGGGGGAGCGGCTTGCGGCGGCGGCGGATCCCAAGGGAAGTGAGCGACACCCAATGAGGAGAGCTTCTTCTGCCAGCTCTGGGAACGAAGGTTAGCATACGGAGGTTTGAGTTAACGGGAGAAATTGAATGGAGCAAGGAGTCAGAAGGGCCAAGTGGTAGGTATAAAAAGGACTGAGACCGAAAGGTGAAGGGGATACGGGCAGCGAATGACGATGCTGAAGCGGCTTGGCAGGCCGACTAGGGCGGGTAAAAGCGGCGCGGTATAAAAAGAGACTCAAAAGCAGGCGATGCCCCCAGGCGGCCGCCCTTCCCGCACCTCTCGGACCCCGCTTGGGGCGTCTCCCCCTGGGGCTCATCACCCCAAACATCACGACTTCTTTTGACCTCAAAAGAATATCTCCAACAAAGGAAAATGGTTCTTGATGGAGTACTAACCTTGCGCAAATCTAACAGTGTTTGCTGGTCCACACCACTTTCCTCGAAGTCCACCTGGGAGCCATCACAGACCTCCTGGATGACACGATCGAACACCGTGCCCTAGGGATAACTGGTATGAGCCAACATCTCACATGGTTATGATATGGGGTTAGAGCGGGGGAATGGAGAACTTCGAAGGGAGTATTAAGCCACAATCCAGGCTCATCGAAGTCTCCAGCTCTGATAAGGTTTGTTTTTTTAAGATGCACTCACCACCTGCTGGTTCGACATGATCGCTGTTGGGATCAGACAAGGACGAGAAGACGCTTTGTCAAGCCAGGTGAAGGAAATTAATGAAGTTTGGGTCAAATAAATTTGCTCTGTCTTCTAAGAAAATAGAAAAAAGAACGGGGTGCCTATTAACACGCGAGAGCTCGACGTGAATGGGGGTTGTCGGGCTTATCACAGGTAAAGCCTCGCCGTCGCAGCGGTCGCTTGCCACGGGCGAATGCGACAGTTGAGTCTCCACAACCACTACTTCCGACCACCCTCGAACTTGCACTGCTTCTGTAGATGATCTTTCTTACTTCAAGAACTCAATATTCAGAGTCTCAGCGTGTGACGAGCCGTAGAATGCCGGGTGAATGCCGGAAGGGAGTTGAAAGCAAGGCAGGCGTGCCGGAGGGATGTGGTTGAGGTGAAAGTCGCTCTCTCCGGGCGAAATCCGCCTTCCTCCCGCCTGCTTAGTCACCACCACCGCTAGTCCCTAGTGGGAGGTCCGGGGGATCTGCCCCGGCGCGACGCAAGAGCTGTTTCTTTGACTTTTTGACTTTTGAGATCTCCAGTAATCGCGGGCTCAGCCTTTCCTCGCCACTCTTTCACTTTTCCCTTGGTTGCCAAGTATTGTCGTTTAAACCTCAGAATTCTCTACCATCTGTCAGCCGCGTGGTTGTGCGATGAGTCAACGTTCTTGGTTTCTGTCCAGCTCATGCAGGCCTCATGGCATTTTAATTTCGTCTTAATCAATCCGACTTAAGCACTGTGGAGCACAACACAACAAGGAGAAAACCATACCCAGGCTTCTCCTTGTTTGATAGTAAGGTATTCAAATAAGATTTTATTCGCTCTCACAATTCAGTGGCTGACAAGCCATTAAATAGTTTCTGGGGCTCTTTAAATGACTTTGTGAAGCGTCTCTTCAAGTCGGACAATCCCATATGAGAACGGACTCTGCCACAGAGCAAAGTATATAAGTCATGCTTTTATTTCTTTGCGTTAGGGCCTCGGGTGCTACCGTCTGACTTTTATGAGCCTCAGGACTTCATATAACCCCAGTAATAATATACTATTGCAGAGTACATTCCGCTCCAAGTCCAAGGGTCTCTTTAATTGGAAATTGACAAACCAAAACTGAGCTTGGATGCAGCGTATCAATATCAGAATATCACTTTATGTTTCTGCTGCTCCACAACTGATATTCGCCGGAAACTCATGGTTAACTCGCCAAAAGAGGTAGCAGTCACGAAACAGACGAAATGGGTCAAATCGATTGTTGGTGCCAACTAGTATCCCAATGGATGTCAGCACGCGTACAGAAGATATAATTGACAAACTAACCCCATGCTCTAGAAACCGTTATACCTCCGTTGAAAGTACTTGAATTGTAGTGAGGCGTGCTAATCTATTAGCTTGAAAGAATTGACCCTGTCAGCCATTATGACTTACAACTACCATATAGTCTACTCGTAGTACTGTAGTCCCTAATTAACTTGGATGTACAGGCCCATCTCTCTAACTAGGAGCAATCTTATTTTTTGGTCACTAAGAAGACACGCGAGGATTGTAACGTACACGAGCAGAAGGCAAACAGATGAGCGACAGAGCAAAATATAGTCAGATATATACAGAGCCTGCATCCTCGTGGTCTTCTGTTCCATTTAGTCTAGATGAATTGGAAAGCTGTAGATTCTGAGTCCCTATCAGGCAACCAGTTAGGGTTCTCCCCCAAACCTGCCCGGCGGAGCTTACCCGATCTCGGCAAGGCGCGGGTGGAGTTTTGACAGCCGAACCTTGACCGTTCGTCTTCTCCACTTCATATTGTTCTCCAGCCATCTAGATTGCTATAGCATTAACCTAATGTTGCCGGCGATAAGATATGAAACGGAAAAATGACGCCGTACCGGAGGCCATGGTGCAACGATGGTCTCGACCGCCCCTCTCCTGCCGCTTTTGTCGAGCGAAGAAGCTGCGCTGTGATCGTACCCAACCTTGTTCCAATTGCGTTCTGAGAAAGGTACCTTGCGAGTATACAGGTCAGGGTCCATCGGATAGTTCGGACGAACTGCGGGGAGCTCATCTATCTGGCAATCAGCCCACTGCTGCGACGGTCTCCACACAACAGCCTGCACCAACTATACCACCCACCTATAGCCAGACTACAACTGCTGCGTGAGTGGGCTCCAGAATCTGGGAGTGTCATTGTAATTCTCACTGATAATTGGAAAGAGATACGAATGATATCTTAAGTCGGGTCGCAAGGCTAGAAGAGGCAGTCTTTGATCGACTTCAAATTCCTTGGGGTGAGTTACAACTAGGGGGTTAGAACCATCGTTACGGGCCTGGGATCGTCCCGGTTATTCACCAGAGATGACACTCAACCTGGCTGGTTATTCAAGGACCTCAATCTAATGCAGATCTAGATCCGCCTGGTAAAGCTACTGGTGCCCAGGGGGGCAACGCAAACCAGGGCTTGGTCACAAGTGGTGTATGTATTTCCTACAAACTCTTGCTTTCGCAAGCTGAAACATTCCTTAGGCACGAGGCTCGAGCAACGGATGTGTCACTCCGCTTACATTATTACCCCTATCTTCAATACAAAGACGCATTGCTGATCTCTATGACTGCATGCGAGATACGAAGAGCATGTCCAGGTGTCTTCCCCCATGGACCCAGGCTCGCCAACTATTAGACCACTTCAACGTAGTCATTCAGCCAACATTCGGAGTCTTCCATATTCCGACCATAAGAGAACTATTAGATGAGACATACAGGGGTATACTCGAGGGCGAGGAACCAAGTCCCACTATCTTGGTCCTGTTCTTCAGCATCTTCGCTGGGGCTGTTCTGGTTGCAACCCCAGAACTTCTGCGGTTGCTCAGCGCAACAGAGGCAGAAGCCAAAGCAGCCTTCACCACAAACGCGCGTTTAGCTCTCTGTATAATTGACAACCCGATCGAACCAATACCGCCATCGACAACTGCTCTTGGAGCCATTAGTGCCTTGTCGCGCGTTCTCTTCCATGCGGATTGGTATTCCCACAAAGCCCAAACACTCAGGATCGACGCAATATGCATGGCCCGATCGATGCAAATCCATCTGCTAGACACAGCTCAGAAGCAAGACGAAAGAAAGCGTTCTGGATACAATGCCATCGAGGTCGAGGTACAGAGACGAGCATGGTGGCACCTCGTCTCCTCTGACTGGTAACATTCACCTTCCCCACTTCATAACCTTCTCAATGCCACTAACAACCACAGGATCACCGCATTCTCGCAAAGCCCACAAGAAGGCACCTACCTCATCCACCCAAATCAAATGAAAGTAAACCATCCCAGCAACATCGACGACGAATCCTTAACCCCCACAGGACTAGCATATAGCTTTCCCCTCTCAGTCCCAACCTCCATGTCTGTATTCATCTCCAGAATCCACTACGCAGAACTATGCCGTGAAATTATCGACACCCTAGGAACGACACTTCTCGAATCCTCCCAACCCGACTACGAGACCCTCCTCGATATCGACCGTAAATTCCACACCTTCGTCCAGTCCCTTCCAACCTTCCTCCAAAACGACCCCGCCAGCATCCAAAAAAGCCAAGAGATAACCCAACAACGACCCTACCTCGCCTGGCAACGAACCGTCGCCCATCTAAGCTTCCACGTCCGCCTCTGCCGCCTTCATCGCTCCTACCACCGTGAAGGCCTGACGAACCCCAAATACGCCTACTCTCGTTTGACCTGCATCCGCTCCGCCCAAACGGTCCTGGACCTCCGCCGCTCCCTAAAAGACACAGGCGTTCTCGCCGGCTTCAACCTCTCCGATTACAGCCTTGTCATGAACCACGTTTTCTTCGCCGCCATGGTCCTGGCCACGGACGTCTCTATGAAGCCTACCGCTCCGGGCGCAGATACCCGCAAGCAGGAAGTGTTGGATGTTATCCATGTACTGGAGAAATCGCAGAATGAGTCGGCGTCGCTTACGGAAGCTATTCGGAAGAATACGCAGACGTTGCTGTCTATTCTTCAGGAATCTCAGAGGGAAGTGCCGCAACAGGCAAGGTCGCCTGTGAGAAACGACAGTATTACCGTGGCTTCAGGATCGGGTGGGACCATGTCGAGCGCTGCTCCGTCACAGTCCCGGCCTGTCGGGGTGGATGAGAACATGACAAATGCGGCGGCCAGCGGACATCTTCCTTTGACGGATAGCATGCCGGGCTCTGGTCATGAAGACGAGGACCCAATGTGGAGCGGAGCAAGGAGGAATAGCTGGGGTCAGCTGTGGTCTGATCTCTTCAATGTGGCGCCGGAAATGGATGGCCTGCAGTGGGATCTGTTGTTGAATGATTTTGACTTGCCCTTCCAGTCGGAATTTTTCTGAAGGACTAGCCGCATAGCCCTGGTTGACTATGTGCTGGCCAGCTTCTATCCCTTCTAAGACGCAGGAGCGAAAAGACGAGCAGTTATGAGTATGCGACTTTCTATACAAGAATCCTGACAGCTATTATACGGTCAAACCTAGATACAAACGCCAATTACCAATAACACCCCTTTTCCATCCCATGAATCCGGATATGTGCCCCCAATGTACTGAACACCGATAGAACCAATGATATCTAGACAAAACCGGTCTACGATACCGAACCCGAAATATAGTCATCGAAGAAGAAAAAATAACAAGATGAGAAGAAATTGCAGATGACCAACCAGTTTACCGAATGGTCATGGATTTGGTCATCTGAGCCTTGCTACCAACACCACCCTCCCGAGAGGCCGCAGCGCTGGTTCCAGGCTTGCGCTCGAAGATCTTCCAGAACTTCAGACTCTCGTCAGCGGCTGCGGTGGCCAGGAGTTGACCATCTGGGCTAAGGCAGCTGTGCAGCACACGAGTCTCGTGGGCAGGAATCTCGACGTTCCGGACCAGAGTGGGATAACTCCAGATGCTCAGCGAGTTGTCGGGGAATCCACTCGAGCTGACAATCTCGCGGTAGTGGTTGCTCCATCTCAAGCTGGTGACCTGGGAGCCGGTGTCGATGCTGTTCGTACGAGCACCAGTAGTAGTGTTCCAGAAGTGGATGTGACGGTCATAAGAACCTCCACCGGTGGCAAGTAGGTTCAACTGCCAGGGGCACCAACTGAGGGCCTTAACGGCAGCGCGGTGGTTGGTCTTGGTGAACTTGGGCGCGCTGAGAGAGCGAGCATCCCAGATATTAACCAGATTATCGTTACCACCGGTGGCGAGTTGAGCACCATCGGGTCTCCACTCCAGACCACAGACTTCAGAGGTGTGCGAGACCAGCTCGGCAACCTTGTGCTGTGCGATGCGAACATCGTGGTTGAATACCAGACCACTGCGGGCACCGGTAGACAATGTGTGCTTCGACCAGCCCATGACACCTACACGCGAGTCATGTCCAAACATACTGCGCAGCTTGGTTCCTTCCTCGACATCCCAGATTTGGACTTCACCAGTTCCGAGACCGACACCGACATAGGCGCCATCACCACTCCACTTTACACTGCTCACGTAGGTGTCAGGTGCAGTCTCCAGCAGGCAGCTGACCGACCCTGAGTCGGCAGACCACACGTAAACATTGCGCTCCAGGCCAATTGCAACCTGGTTGCCAGAACTCCAATCCAGCAGATTGAGGTAGTAATCGTCGAGGAGACCAGGGGCGTCCAGGACACGCTCAGGAGCGGTTTGGACACGTCGGCGGAACTGAGCGGACTGAGATTTGGCAGGCTTGAGAGGGCGGTTGTACTGAGCGCGCAGATCAATGGGCTTGGAAGACTCTGGGGGTGGCGGCTTGAAGGCCAGGATACGAGTGTTCAGATTGACACCACAGGCATCTGCCAAAGATGACTCGTACGCAACAGCATCCGGTGCTGGCTTGGTGTATGAGGTCGTTCCCTCGTTATCCTCGAGTCCAAGGCTTTCCAGAGCTGCGGTGATGTCTTCATCTGTTCCGCGGCCACCAATGTCGAAAGCACTCGCTGCATTGGCAAGGACGGAGGATCCATCGCTGCTACTGGTCTTTGGTCGTTGGCTTTCCTCTGGCTTGGCTGTACCAGCAGTCACAAGTCCCTCACTGGCAGTACGGTTCGGGATGAATCTGTCACCTGCGTTGTGGGGAATGCGAACGGTTGTCTTTCCTGACCTCGTAGTTCGAGTGGTGATCTCCTTCCTAGGTGCTTCCTTCCTCGACACCTCCTTCTTGATTGCCTCCTTCTTCGGCGGTTCTTTCCTGGCCACTTCCTTGGTCACCTCCTTCCTCACGACCTCTTTCCGCAGGCGCTCTTTGGTAGGAGTCTGTGATGAAGGACCAGTGCCAGTTAAGGCCCATTCTGATACACCCAGCTCAAGGTGTCTAGGAGACTTGCGCGTGCGAGCACGGGCGATGTTGGACTTGGGGGATTCGCGGTAGTTGCGGGCTGTCCTCGAGACAGACTTGGCGAAGTATGAAGAGAGGTTACCACCATAGACAGACTTTCCATGCTCCTTGCCCGATTCTTGAGCACCACAGGGAGGTGTGAATGGGGAGGAGTGGTTTGACGTCACACTTCCTGCGCGAGTGCGTGGTGAAGGCGTAAGGGGCATGCGGCCACCAGCCGTCTTAGTGGAGAAGATCCCATGGTGAGTCTTCACGGGAGTCGAAACTGTAGGTGTAGCCATGCTGATATATATTTACTTTTCGAGAGATAGGGGAGGGTATCGAGAGAGAAGTGCCTTCAAGGTCCGTTTGCAGGGCCAATCCTAGTCACGCTGGCTTGGTCACAGGACGAAGAAGACCTAACTGCGATACAGTAGTATTGAATGCAGGCAGGGAATACCAATCCCACGCAATATGGTATGCAATTAGTAGCAGATAAATGGCAAAGAACAAGGAAGATGATGAAGAGGAGGAAGAGGAGGGGACGGGGGTGAAGAAGGAAAAGGGAGTAAATAAAGGATATAGTTCTGCTCACCCATGGCAACGCCGGTTACTGGAGGTACGGCTGCCCTAGTCCCGTTTAGGTTAGATTGCCACCTGACATGCGGCTCTTCCCTTTTCGGCGACGATCGGCTTGGCGCTTGCCGTTTCTCCCCTTTTCATTTTCCTTTTTTTTCTCTTGCCGCTGACAAGAGACGTGGGGTCACTGCGATCAGCATCAGTATGTGAGGAGAGTGTGTGTTACTACTGATTTATCTTTTGATTCACCATCTTTGCCCTTCGGTTATCCTCCTTTTCTGACCCCCTGGGCCCGTCTTTACTGTCGGACCCTAATGGCGCGGCTATCCTCCACTACCGCCAGGAATAGTAACGCTTCGTCGCCCCTTTCGCCGTTCCACGCTGACCCACCGCGTTGGACCGGGTCGTCCAGGACTCCTAACCCGATGACTTCCCTCTCCTCCACCCTTCAGAGACCGGCGTTCACATTCCTCATGCCACCTAGTCCCAGTGATGGTCGCCGTAGTGGCGCGGATTACCGCCCAAGCATCCGCAAGGCACAAGGCCATGTGCCAGCCTGCCTGGTCAATGCTTCGGTGACGTATTGCAATAATGACCAGATCTACGCTTTCGGCGGCTTTGATCAGTACACGGATGAAGGTGCATATACTTATTTCTCACACTGTTCATCGTTCAAGTCTAATACTAATGCTTCTTACTTGCTAAAATAGTTTACAACCACGTCTTGCGTCTGAATCTCAATACTCTTCGGTGGGAACTGGTTGATAACTATGGTGACATTCCCGGTGTCCGCATGGGTTAGTTTCCCCACATTTTTGAATACTTACGATAAGGAAACGCAAATCGTACTAATTCAGACTCTCAATCGTTGTAGGTCATACGGCTACCCTCTACCAAGGTGACAAGTTGATTGTGTTTGGTGGAGAAAATGAACACCGCGACCATCTATCTGACGTTGTCATCCTGGACATCTCAACCTCTACCTGGACTCAGCCGGAAATCCATGGACCGATCCCCCGAGGAAGGGCTCGCCATGCTGCCGTCATCCACGATGAGAAGCTTTTCATCATGGGAGGAGTAACCGGAGAGAACAATGTGATCCTCGACGACTTGTCGTATCTGGACCTGAAAACCTGGACCTGGTCTCGCACCTGGAGATTCACGGCTCGTTTCGACCACATCGCCTGGGTTTGGGGCGGCCGCCTCTGGATCTTTGGAGGTCTCGATCCTGACATGGAACGTACAACGGATATCTGGTGGCTGGATCTCAAAGGCATTCCGTCTCTTGGAACGGCAACTTCACAAGGTACCGTGGATTCCCCAGCGCCAACCAGCAGGATTACTTATAGTCCAGACGCTATCTTTAGTAGCCCCCCGCAGCAGCTTTCGGGCCGGTCCGGCAGCTATGCAGCGAATTCCGGGAGTGTTCAAGTTCGCAATGGCAATCGTCGGAAACCGATCGCTCCGGGCGCCATTTCTTGTCTTCGGTTCAAGTCCGGCCCTCACGTTCCTGCACTGTTCTCTGGCACTCACTTCCAGGCCTATGCATCTGGGGTGCTCCTGGATCTGATTACTCCGTCCGAGACAGTGCGTACCTATGAGTGCAACCTGTCATCACTGGATCTGGACGCTTTACGTTGGCAGCGGTTGGCTGACGGGCAGGAAATCTTCAAGCCGGGCTTTAGATGGCATTATTGCACTGTGAACGCTGACGGTACCAAAGCGTGGCTTCTTGGTAGTAGCCTCGACACCGGTGCCACTCCCGGAAATAGTGATGAGAATAACATGAGCGAGGTACTCTGCATTGACCTTGAGAGATACGGCTTGCTGGGAAACGAGCCGTCTGCCTTTTCGCCCAGTCAAAGCCGAACGTCGCTTTCCGAACCAACAGGGATGGGCTCTTTGTCCGGTTTAGGAGCAGATCTTTCGGCAGCGTTTGATCAATCACCAGAGTCCGGTAGCGGTGCAGACTTTATCATTACCGCTAATTCAGACGATCAGGTTGAGTCGGACGATGAGGGGGACACCCCCACTTCACAATCAGAGCCAGCCTTCCTCTCCCCCAACACACCTACTTCGCCTCCGATTCATGTGCACCGGATCATTCTGCAGCTGCGATGGCCCCACTTCAAAAGGCTTTATTCGGCTCAAATGGCTGAATACCATGCAAACAGGATGCACATCCCCGAGCCGTACTCGGTTGTGCGTGCGTTTATCTACTATCTGTATACAGATAGCATCGCCGGTCATTTGGAGTTTTGTTCCGATATCATCGACGTTGCGGGAATGCTCGTCATGGCGAATATGTACGACATGCCTAAGTTGCGTTTACTTTGCGTCAATCGCCTCAGCCGCGAATTGGATGTAGAGAACGCTGCAATCATCTGGGAGCGTGCAGGGCGCACGAACGAAGAGTGGCTGATGCGTCGTGCCGCTCAATTCTGCCTTGCCAATTGGGGACGTGTTGTTCGGACCGATGGCTTCAAGTCTCTAAGCCGGCAGAGTTTGATTGATCTGTGCGAGGTAGTCGACACTGAGGGTCGTATTATTGCCGGGCCCGAGCTGGAGATGGCTGGAGCTTTCGGAGAAAATAAGGATTCGAAGCCTTCCCAATTGGCCCTGAGCGGTGCTATTGCTGACAATATGGAGGACATTGATGGTGATGATATTGATGGCATGGATATCATCTAATGTTGAGGAAGACTGTCTGGATAGAGCTTCCTTTCTTTTCTTTGTTCATTTTGTGTTATGAACTTTTCTACAGAGCAGTTACGATACGGGATGGCGTGAAACAGGCTGAGAAAATATGTATGGGCCAGGATGGTATTTTGAGTTAGGAGTTTGCAAATTGCGGTTACAATAGGGAGTATTTGCAGTATAGCGTTAGCATAAATTGATCACATGCTTGTTTTATTCACATTATAGCTGGCTTTTCAGCATCGGCCTAGCAAGTAGACTGCTCTCCCAGATACATAGACATACAGCAATCACATCAATAGTATCTCCACCACATCCACATCAATACAATTGACCCAGTAGAATCACATCCACCTCTGCCCCTCCCCATCAAACCCGATAACCTTGAAATCAATCCCCATCGTCTTCAACATCATCCCGATCGTGAACTCTTCCTCTTCCTCCTCTTCCTCATCTTCTTCCTCATCCTACCACACAGATTAAATCAGCACATATCCAATCCACAACACACCAGCCAAGCATAAAAGAAAAAGGATAGTTAAGACAAACCATCTCCTTCCCCCCACCCTTCTTCTCATGATCATGGCCATTATCATCTCCCCACCACCCACCACCACTACTCCTACTCATCTCCATCCCCTTCCACCCCCTCACACCCCCCATCCTCACTACCCTCTCCCTCGCGCCCTCAAACACCTCCTCCGCAACCCTTTGCCCCACACCCCTCCACTTGACAATTAACGTCTCTAGTTCCTCATCGCGGTGGGATTCCTCGATGCGCTGCGCCTGAGTAACTGTTTCTAGTTCGGTGCGGAGAGAGAGGAGTCGGGATTGGAGGTGGCGGTGGGTGGTGCGGAGGGTGGAGAGGGTGGGGTCTTCTTCTTTTTGCTTCTGTTCTCTCTTTTCTTTGGGGGTAGGGGTATTTTTGGGGGTGGGTTTGGGGATTGGGGTCGTGAAAGATGAGGGGTTGGGTTTGGGGGTGGCGGGTGTTGATGTGTGGGATTGTATTTGGGGTCGTGTGGTTGTTGGGTCTTCGGAGGATGAAGAGGGCGCGTTTGTGGTGGTTGTGGTGGTGGTGGTATCTGGGGCTGATGCTGATGCTGGTTCTGGGGCTGGTCTGCGCAGAGGCGATTTGAATGGTTTGGTGAGCGTTGATGAGGGTGATGATTTGGTGCTCGTGTTTAGACGGCGGCGTTTGGGGTTGGGGGTTGGTGTTTGGTTTGGGTTCATTGTGTGTGTCTTTCTGATAGTCTGGTTTTTTGGGTTCAAGAGGTTCAATGGCTGAGCGAGGTATTGGTATGCAATTGGGATGGATTGTGGGGATGGTGTAAGTATATTGGAAGAAGTATGAAATGGAAAAGTAAATATGCTTATCGATAAGACAGTCAGCTGATAAGATAGATAACGACTCAGTCAATTCTCTACATACTCCGTCGATGGTAACTAGGAAGGTATCATTCGTGTACTTAAGCTAAATCAAGCATATACATTACGGCGAAAAGCACAATTCTATATCATTAATGACCTACCGCCCCAGCAAGCCAATCATTGAACCCCGGCTCGCCGGGGCGAGGGAACATTCCCCGATCATTGTTGGCATTGCCTCCTGCCGCCGCATTCGCGCCGCCGTTGTCGTTCTGACGCTGGCGGTTGCGCTGCTGTCTCATATACACAAGCACGAGCAGGGTTGCGGCAAGACTGAGAATGAGCAATCCCTCCAGAAAGCTATCATCAATATCGAGCTCCAGCTCGTCGTAGTAGCCGTCTTCGCGGTGGTCGTCCAGGCGATTGCTCGACATGAGTTCGTCCTCCTCGTCCTGTTTGTACATCTGTGCGCGGAAGGCGGCCTCTTCTTCCTCGTTGTTCTGGATAAAAGTGGCGATAAATTCCTTCAGGGTTCGATGCGATCTCACTTGTGCGTTGGTGTGTAAGTGTGACTGTTCGGATCTTCTCAGCGGGAATAATGTTAGGGTTCCTTACCTTCTTCCTCTTGGATGGGGTTGATGTCTCCGTTCGTTAGCCAATTCCAGTATCCCCGCATCCGCAGTTTAAGCAGACTGAGCTTCACGGGCAGATACGCCTCGGAGCTAGTCTCCAGCGCGAGATCGTAGTATCGCTTGGCCATGTGGAAGTCTTGGTCCACGGCAACACCATTTTCATGCATCCATCCCAGGTTCCAGTACGCCTGTGCGCTGTAGTGCACTTCGGCTGCGGTGTGGTAGCAGGTCGAGGCCTTCTCCGCATCCGCGGCAATTCCCATGCCCGTCAGGTAGTAATCGCCCATCTTGAGCAAGGAGTCGATGTTCGCCTGTTTGGCGGAGCGTGTCCAGTAGATAAGAGCCAGCGCCGCATTCCGCAGCAGAGCCGGTCTGCTCTTCTTGGCTCCTGGAAGGATGGTATCAATGGCGAACAAAGACCGCTGCTCATCCAGCAGGAACGCAACATTGGACTGCGCATGCTCGTAGCCCTGCTCCGCAGCCATCAGCGCCGGGATAAATGCCCGTTCCTTGTCTCCGTTCTCATATGCAGTGTTCGCTTCCTCGAAGGATGAATGGATGACTTCCGCCCGTTCGGCGACCATCTTGTAGTAAGACGCGGCCATTCCGCAGTGTCGTTTCCGCCCAACCCCATTGTTGGACAGTTCTGCAAGGTAGTAGAAGGCCTCCATCCAGCCCCAGCGCGCAGCGAGTTCGAAATAGCGGGTGGCGGTCTGGACATCGCCTTGGTCCAAAAACAGGGCACCCAGCCTCGTTTCAGCGGCCGGGAAGTCCTGCTCGGCGGCAGCCTTGAAGTATGATGCAGCTCTGAATGCATCCGGTGTTACGCCATAGCCATGCAGGTACATCAGTCCGAGCTCATGCTGGCAAAGAGCATCACCATTCGCGAGTCCACGCCTAAACCAAGTCTGGGCAGTTGCAAAGTTCTGTTCCACCCCCTCGCCCCGCAGGTACATCATGCCAATATGGCCTGCTGCTTTCGAAGCCAGCTTCTCAACACCAACAGGATGGTTGGGGTTCACCGACCCGTCTTTATTCCAGTACCGCTTGGTGACCTGTCTGAAGTAATTCATCGATTTGCGGAAATTCCTAGGCAAGCCGCGGCCCCCTTCATAGTGCATCTTGCCCAGGCTGAAAGTAGCCTTCAGTTCGCCCTTTCTCGACATCAAATCCAAGTACTCCAGGACGTCTTCCAAGCTGGCTTCCGTGCTCGAATGCGTTCCATCGCGCGCAGGCGTCGATACACTGGCGCCTTCACCATAAACACCACCCTCTTCGTCCGCCCAACGGTAGGACTCGCGGATCATGCTATTGCCACCAGGCGGTCCAGATCGGTAGTAAGCAATAGCCTTGTCGGCCACCTTCTTGTAGTAATAAGTCGCTTGGTCGCAATCTCTAGGAGCCCCGATTCCAGCGTGGTAGCGATACGCGAGGGTCATTTCCGACTTCGTATTGCCCGCTTCGGCCGCAAAGGTGTGGTATAACAGGGCCTTGGCCTGGTCGCGCTCCACCGCACCTCCAACACCCGTTGCATACATAAACCCAAGCATATATTGTGCCGTACCGTTTCCAGTCGACGACGCCAAGGTCTGGTACCAATGGAAAGCCTGCTTGAAGTCTCTCGGGTGGGTGAAGTTGCCGTAGAAGTTCATTTCCGCTAGGAGGAAGATTGCATCGGGGTTTTGGTCCTCCTGCGCCGCAATCTTGAGTTCGTTCGCAGCCTTTGCAACATTTGGATCGAGTTTCTGCTTGTGTGTCCCATCCGGCTGCGGTCCATTCATGAATAGGATCCGGAAGGCTTCCTGGGCGTAATGCCAAGTGTATCCCAGTAGACCGGACGGTTTCTCGTGAGTGAGTATGGGGATTTTGCTTTCTCGGAGGATTCCAAGGGCATTTTGGACGTGTTCTATTGGTACATCAAGAATCTAGTTGTTAGCAAGGATGAGTGCGCTGGCGTCATGCACAGGGCTGCTCACCGTGTCCCGGTAGGCTGTTAGAGCCCTCGGGCCCGCTCGAGGACTCAGCATGTGCATATGATTCAGGAACGACATCTGTTAAGGGTTCTTGTTTGTCGGGCTGTCCATTATGTTCAACCGCAAGCGCCTGCAGAAGCACTGGAAAGTGGTGCTTGGAGGTCAGTAGCTATCGCGTGATGCGGCTAAGCTCCACAGTGAGACTCACGAAGCGCCAACGGCAGGAAACGCCACAGCCACCAGTTCTTCATGTTGTGTGAGAGAGATGAGTAGGAGTGAACAGTGAGAGGCGCATGGCGACTCTGTGCTCAAGCTTCCGATAAGTAAGAGAGGGGGGAGGAGCTGACAGTGAAGATGAGCACTGGAGACTCGGGGGAGTTGCTTGCTCGGCCCCGATGCGGAACGGGCCACCTGGCGTTGCGGAGCTTCATTTCGCCGACGTTCTTGGCTCCTTCACTACATTACCATCTAGACTACAAGTACATCTACTACTACTCTTGATCACTACATGGCACATGTTTTGGCAACCATTTTCATTATTATTGACCTCCGGTCTCGTCCATAACCCATCTGCAGTCGTCTGTGTACAAAGCATAGGGATACTGATCGATCGCAGCAATACACGCAATAACTCGTCCTCGATGCAAACTCAGAGAAAACAACACCATCTCCGGAGAGGACCATCGTATTCTCATAACCGAGTCATGGTCCACAAGCATCCTCAAGTCTAAACGCTTGGTAGTTCAATGTGCAAAAAAAAAGGGGAAAGGAAGCAAGCAAAACACAGAATATCACCAACCCACAAAACCGTTCGCAATTTCAGCAGGCTGGCTCGAAGAAAAAGAAAAAGTAGGAAAGAAAACTAATACGGGATAATAAGGGGATCGACCTGCAGGCTGACGCAAGAAGAGAAAAACATACAGTTTAAAAACGGATGGGTGAAAGGGAAAGGCTACAGGCGCCCCAAATTCTGCATGAAATAACCAACCAATTCCGCAACATACAATGCAAGATGTTTTTTTCTTTTGTTCCTCTTAGGGGTCGTCTGGGAGGTAGGTGATAGTACAATGATACAGCGAAGGTCAGAAAGAAGCAAAGCAACCATCTTAGGATTTCACTGGCGTGGAGATCTGCATGCTTGGTTAGTGACCAAATGATATTCAATCGCTGCTCATGAGTGACTTACGTAGGGCTGAAAGCCGGCGACGTCGGGCTGTAGCCAGGAGACGTTGGTCCTCCAGGTGACGTCGGCGAGCCGGCAAAGTTGGGAGATGTAGGAGAATACGTCTGGGGGCTCGTAGGAGACCACCCAGGCGAAGTAGGCGTATACTTAGGTGAGGTAGGAGAAGTGGGTGACAGATGCCGGCCAACACCACCAACAGCAGGGCTTGTCGGGCTGTAGCTAGGCGAGGTTGGGCTAAAGGCCGGTGAAGCCGGGCTGAAACTGGGTGAAGTAGGACTGTAGTTCGGCGACGTCGGTGAGAACCCTGGCGAAGTTGGCGAGTACGATGGCGACGTGGGAGATGCCTGGCCATACGCAGGAGAGGTAGGAGAGTATGCTGGTGATGTCGGAGCAAATGACGGACTCGCTGGGGAGAACCCAGGAGACGTCGACATGAAACGAGGACTGGTGATAGCCATACCCGGTGACGTGGGAGAATAACTCGAGGTCGGGGAGTAGCCAGGCGACGTCGGGTTCGCGCTGAACGGACTGCTGGGGGAATAGCCAGCTGGGCTTGTAGCTGCCGGACTGAACCCGCCTCCAAAGCCGCCAGTAGGCTGGTATTCGGTGAAGCCACCAGGAGTCTCGGCACCGGCTTGGCGAATGGGAGAGAAGTTCGACTCGGGGTCGGGAGTGCCGATGTAAGCACTCTCCTGCATAGGCGAGCCCGTGTCATACTGAGTAGCAGCACCGTCGGAGATGATGGCATCCTTGGCGCCGATCGCTCCCATAACACCAAAGCGAGCATTGTTCGACACGACAGTGTTCATGAGGTTCTGGTCAAGGTAGATATCGAACTCTCCGGTACCAGCAGGAGCCATCTGGCCCAAAATAAGGTTCTCAGAAACACCACGGCAATCGTCCAGCTCTCCGAAAGCGGCCGCTTCCAACAGAATCTCGACGGTTTCTTCGAACGAACAACGCATGAGTGCACCGTTATCAGCACGGTTGATACCGTGTCGAGTGACGGGTGTCAGGTAGCCTCGTACAGTCATGACATCGACCAGCAGCGCCAAATGGCGGTGGTTGACATAAGAACCGTCGAACGCAAGCACCTGGGTCAATTCGCGAAGAACAGCTGTCCGTGCGGCTTCGATACCAAACACCTCGAAAACCTCGATAAACTGGTTGGAGTACGTGCGAGTAGCATCGACACCGGGGATTGCCAGAACCTCACCCAAAGACGAGCCACTTGTTTCGAGAACCCACTCCTTGCAAAGCGGGTCGGTCTTGCTAGCGAACAATGATCCATCTTCCAGAACTCTGACCTTGCTCTTCTCGTTGATGAATGCCCGCTCGACGCCGGGAACACCACGGAGGGTAAGAGTGTCAAGGAGATGCTGCTCCAACTTCTTAAGCGTAACATCGTATTCAATGTCGTCATCCTCCTCGTCCTCCTTGTAATCCTGGATCTGACGGATACGGATAACCTGCTCATCGGCGTTGTTATCACTAAAGATGACAGCGATATCCTTGGGGTAGGCAGCCTTGATCCTAGAAGCGACATCCTGCACAGTGAGACCCTTATCCAGAAGCTTCGGCCGACTGAGTATAATACGGAGCAACCACTTGGACTGGCGCGACGCATCATCCGTGACATCTTCGGGAATGATGAAGTAGGACTCGACCATATCCCGATCGTTTTCGATGACCGTAGTCTGGATATCGGGATCGTAGTAGATCTCGGTTGCTTCCGTAACGGAACGCAAGCTTGTGTGTTCGACAGCGCTACGCAATTGTTTGGCACCCTCCTTGTCAAATGACCGAGCAGCTTCCTGGTAAACCGTCATAGAGGGCGTCTTGATGTTGGTAGCGACGTTTAGGATTTCCTTTAGACGAGGAACACCCAAGGTGACGTTCTTGGACGAGACACCAGCAAAGTGGAAAGTGTTCAGTGTCATCTGCGTGGCAGGCTCACCAATGGACTGAGCAGCAAGCACACCAACCATTTCGCCAGGGTTGGCACCAGCCTTGGCGAATCGGCTCTCAATAGCTCCAATAACATGCTGGAATGCCAGCTTGTTCATGGAGTACTCCGTAACCAATCTGCGGAACGCGAGACGGCTGCGAAGCTGGGCCTTGAAAAGCAATGTCGCGTTTTCCTGAGCTTCACGCGAAATGATATCATTTCCGCGAACCACAAGCAAGCGATCCAGCAGAGAACGCACCTGAGGGATGACCTCAGCGGGATGAAGATCGCTGATGGTACCCTCGCGGATCCGGAATGTAGTTCTGGCGGTTTCCAGAATACGCTGCACATTGATCGGGAGCTGCATCATCTCCTCGTCTTCCTTTGCCACAGAGCGAAGGAATGCACGATCCTTAAGAAGATCCTCCCATTCTTCATCCAGATGTCTCTGGACCTCGACATCACCTGCGATTTCGTTGGCCTGCTCCAGTACCTCTGGTCCCAGGGTGCGCTCAGGATCCATCAGATCGACACGGAAACGATCACGGAACTTGTCATCCGAGCACTTGATGATGTCCACCCGCTGGTTCTCAATATGAGCACCATCAAGACCATCTTCTCCGTAGATGAACTGGATGATATCACCCAAAGAGTTCCGAACAGTGCCATCATACTTGACCATGACTTCTTCAAGAGCCTTGACCAGCTTACGTTGGATGTAACCGGTTTCAGCGGTCTTAACAGCGGTATCAATCAAACCTTCTCTACCAGCCATGGCGTGGAAGAAGAACTCAGTGGGGGTCAAACCACGCAGATAAGAGTTTTCAACAAATCCACGGGATTCCGGAGAGTAATCGTCCTTGGTGAAGTGAGGCAAGGTACGGTACTTGAATCCGAAAGGAATACGCTTTCCTTCGACTGACTGTTGTCCGACCACAGCAGTCATCTGGGAAATGTTAATAGTCGAACCCTTAGAACCGGACCGCGCCATCTGGATGGCGTTGTTCAGATCCTTCAAACTCTTTTCGGTTTCGCTACCAGCCTCATCACGAGCGTTGTTCAAAGCACGAGACACCTTACTCTCGAAGGTCTCACGGACGTTCATACCGGGTAGAGGCTCGAGAGTGTTGTCAGTAGCACTTGCAGTGATCGACTCGACCTCCTTCTTTCTGTTGCGCACACAGTTCTCGATCCGCTGGATCGTAAGCTCATCGGGGATAGTGTCACCGATACCAATACTGAAACCGTTGTGCAAAAGCCAGTAGTTGACAATTCTCTGCGCACCATTGAAGAAAGCAACAGCCGTACCATGACCATACTCGTTAAAGATAGTATGGATGACACCACCACCGCTAGCACCAACCGTCTTCTTAGAGAACATACCATACATCAGTTGACCGTTGTGGATAAGAAGACCACCGTCAGCCAGAGGCGAGAACTTCTCAGAAAGCGGCGAGTTATCCTTGTCCACACGCAGAAGGTTAAGACCAGAAGGAAGCGCCATACTGATCATCTGCTTTCCGGTCCAGCGAGGTCTAGGCTTCAGAATTGCCGGGGGAGGAATCACCCCATCCCAATCAGGAACCCACATCATGATGTTCATGACTTGATCCTTGGTCAAGAAGACATCACGCCGGCAAATCTTGTAAATACCACACAGCGTATCCTGCACGATACCCATGAGCGGACCGTTTCGCTGGGGAGACACGATGTTCATGGGGACCAATGCCAGTTGACTCAATTCCGCGCGCGATTCCTCGCTCTGAGGGACGTGCAAGTTCATCTCATCACCATCGAAATCGGCGTTGTAAGGGGTAGTGACAGACAAATTCAACCGGAAAGTGGAATAGGGCATGACGCGAACACGGTGACCCATCATGGACTCTTTGTGAAGAGAGGGCTGTCGATTGAACAGAATGACATCGCCGTCCATGATGTGACGCTCAACCTTCCATCCGTACAACAACTGTTGACCACCGGCTCTCTTGGCATGACGAAGATCGATGCGCTCGCCATTGTCTCGGACAATATACCGAGCACCCGGGTGTTCGTTCGGACCGTTCGAGACCAGAGTCTGCAATTTCTCGATGTTGTAGGGTGTGACAACCTCGGGATAAGTCAAGGTTCTCGCGATACTCTTCGGAACACCGACCTCCTCAAGAGACAAGTTGGGGTCACCAGTAATGACAGTACGTGCAGAGAAATCCACACGTTTACCCATCAAGTTCTGTCGTAAACGACCCTCCTTACCCTTCAAACGACTCCGAATAGCCTTGACTGGGCGATTCGACTTCTGCATGGCCTTCGGCTGACCAGCGATATCGTTGTCCATATAAGTGGCGACATGGTACTGCAAGAGCGACTCGAACTCGCGCACGACGTGCTCTGGGGCGCCTTCCTGCTCACAGCGTTGAACATTCTGGTTGGCTCTGACAATTTCAGCCAGCTTATATGTCAGATCATCCTCACCACGCTGGCCGCTGGTGCTGCCGCCGACAAGCACACTGGGACGAACAGGAGGAGGGGGAACCGGCAAGACGGTGATGATCATCCACTCGGGACGGGCATAGTCATTGCTCAAACCCATGATACGAACGTCCTCGTAAGAGATGTTACGGAAAACGTTCAACGCAACCTGTGGGGTGATAACCTTCTTCTCAGGTTGCTGCATGTCCATCTCATCCATCATCTTATTCGGCTTCCACGTTCCAACAAGAGTGATACCTTCCTTACGAATCTGAGGTTGGGCATTACCGCAACCACCGTGCATCCGAACGGGTTTGGAGTTCTCTTTCGAGAAGGGCTCGTCATCGTCCGGGGGAGGGTCGGCTTCGCAGATAAGAACGTCTTTGGACAGTCGCCAGATGTGGTCGAATCGTCTCTTGGGGTCTCGCATGCGCAGGGCTTCTAAAAACTTGGGGTCGGACTGGTTTCATGTCAGCAAATATGCCGTGATAGATTTGCCATCCCATAAGGGATGACTAACCGTATTGGCTTTGATCTTGCCACAGTTGTGGCAGACCGTCTCAAGCAGCTTCTTGATCTTAGTCAAGAAACCTGGAGCAGACGTTAGCAAGCGTACAATATGAGACTAAAATCCCCTGGCTGGCCGACAACATACCGATATGATAAACCGGTGTGGCAAGCTCAATATGTCCGAAATGTCCTGGACACTCCTTCTGGCCTTCCTCACAAGTTTCACAGTTCCATTGCCGATCGATTGTTCCCAAGCGTGGATCGTTCAAACCCTTTGTGCGCGGCCGTTGCCGTTGATCATCCTGTTTGTTGTGTTACCGCGTTAGCGTTTTGCCACGTTCAGTCGGTGTGGGCGGCACTTGAGGAAAAACAAACCATCGTCTCCGGATATTCAACATGGACCACACTCATCCGCTTGATCTCCTCGGGTGAGAACAAACCAAACTGGATCTCCTTGATGGTGCGCAGAGGCGCCTTGGAGTAGGGAAAGTACACGTTCGCCATGATGGTGGTTGGTGTCGTCGGTTGATCGTTCTCCGAGGGTATGCGATGACGAAGGAGTCGAAATATGACCGAGCAAGACAGAATCTGACGTGTCGGAAGCACTGATCTATAGACAGTCTAAATGGGCTGAAGCGACGATGCAAATGTTTGCGAGCAAACTGGCCGGCCTAGGCCTCTGGCAGCCCTTGCCACGAGGGCGCCTGCGACCTTATCCACCGACTGCGCGAAGCTCGAAAAGGGCTGGAAAAAAGAGGGTCACGGTCGATCTTGGCGATATCTCCAGCTCGGAAAGTGATATCGCGATGCAAAGCGCGATGGTCGGGGTTGTTGGGCGATGGACAGGAGGCGTGTTGAGGTGATGAAAGGGAGACGGTTGGACGTCAGGTCAGTCGGCGATGGGGCAACGAGTTTTCTGAGCCGCAAGCTAGCGCGACCATCCGGCCCTTTAAAAGTCCGCAACGCTAAACCCATAGTGGGGCAAATGTGAGGTGGCAGTAAACTCTCCGCCACTCAGAGTGCAGTTACAGACCAATGATTGGGGAAGGCCATTGACAAATTTATGTGACCTCTTCACCGCCCGCTCGTCGCTTTATTTCCCCTTCGGCTTCAATTCACTTTGCCAGCCGGTATTTCCCATTCCCCGCCCGGCTTTATTTCATTGTATCTGTGGCTATTGACTACACTGGATGTTTGCGCCCGAGCGAACCTCCCGGCCTTCTTCGCAGGCTGGGAACTTACCGCCTCTTTCGTCGTTTGACTTGCTGGCTCTGACTTGACGCTTGCCGAACCATTCTGTGTGAATCTAGCATCATGAATTTGTCTCTTGTTGATCCCTTTGTCCTAGCTCAGGATTATCCAGACACGTTGACGGAGAAGCTGAGTATGTCGCACTTCATCAAGCTTCTACGGTGTGATCACTAATCCAATATCAGGAAGTGGACATGCGACTTGTCTACGGTTTAATCGCAAAGGAGACTATCTGGCGTCTGGACGGGTTGGTTGCCAACAACATGCGGGGATTGCTTCAAGATCAAATCAATAACCGTGTCCCAGGTTGATGGAACAGTAGTCATTTTTGATGTGGAAACCAACGGGGTTGCGCGAAAGCTACGAGGTCATACCAGGCAAATTCAGTCATTAAGGTAGCTCATTCACACACACCCCCTCGGCGCAATCCGCCGTACGCACATTGATGCTAACTACAATCGGTGTACAGTTGGTCAAGAGACGGCCGTTATCTTCTGAGTTCTTCTCAGGACTGGAAATGTATTTTATGGGATTTGAAAGATGGCTCCCGGGTCCGCACCGTCCGCTTCGAAGCACCCGTTTATATCGCAGAACTACACCCTTATAACCAGTATGACAGCCCTTCCATTGCTTAGCGGCTAGCACATTGCTGACGCGCCCCCTCCTGCAGCTTGCTCTTTGTAGCGTCTCTTTTCGAAGATCAGCCTGTCCTCGTGGATGTTTCGTTACCCAAGCCCGTCAAGCGCATCCTTCCATCCGCTCCATTTCGCCCTCCGCCTCCAAAGAACGAAGAAATCGACCCCGCCGTTGCTGCGAAACAAGCAGCTCAAGATGCGAAACATTCCACGTGCGTTACGATCTTCACTGCTCTAGGAAACCATATCATAGCGGGTACATCTAAGGGTTGGATCAATATCATTGAGACACAAACCTGTACCACAATACATTCCACTCGGCTCTGCAATGGTGTGGTGATCTTACTTCGCCTAGCGAGTAACGGTCGGGATCTACTAGTCAACAGCTCTGATCGCGTTATACGCACAATACTCATGCCGGATCTCTCGCAACTGGGTATCGATCTGGAGCCTACCAACATCAAACTCCAAGTGGAACATAAGTTCCAAGATGTGGTGAACCGTTTGAGTTGGAACCATGTAGCATTTTCTTCCACCGGGGAGTTTGTTACTGCGTCCACATTCATGAACCCTGACATTTATGTTTGGGAGCGGAGCCACGGCTCCCTGGTCAAGATTTTGGAAGGCCCCCGCGAAGAACTAGGAGTGGTTGAGTGGCACCCTAGCCGTCCGATGGTGGTTGCCTGTGGCTTAGAATCTGGATGCATCTATACTTGGTCGATTGTGACGCCTCAGAAATGGTCAGCCCTGGCCCCTGACTTCGGTGAGGTCGAAGAGAACGTCGAGTATGTTGAGCGTGAAGATGAATTCGATATCCACCCGGCAGAGGAAATTCACCAGCGCCGTTTAGACCAGGAAGACGAAGTCCCCGACGTTCTCACAATCGAAGTAAACAAAGACGGCGCGGAAGAGGATAGTGTTACCTCATTTCGCATGCCAGTCCTTCTTGATATTTCGGACAGTGAAAGCGAGGATGATATCATCGCGGTTGGACCCGGGACGATGAGGAGACGTAGTCCAGGCGCAGCGCGAGACCGAACGAATGCCAACGGGGACGGGGAGAAGGACAGTGTAAGTGGCGGTAGAAACGGCAGCACACGAGGTCAGAAGGGTCGGCGGCGCTAAGTTGTACTTGTGGCTAACACACTGCGTTCTCTCACTCTTTTGAGTGTTGCTTCTGTCTCACTTTGCGAGTTATCTATTCGATTATATGTCAGTTAGAGGGTTCTTGGCGTCTGGTAGGCTGTCTCAAGGGACATGACATACTCTTCGATATACTTACGGTACATGATCGGTGGAGTTTCGGTGGGAGAAAAAAATGTTCAATAGAACCCATTCGAAGGGCTTTGCGTTATTTTTTAAGCCCTCCGTTTCGCTTCTTTTTCATCTAGTTCATTAAGAAGTACCAAATCAAAGGTGGCTTTCTCACAGGACCGCCACGGTCATTGGAGTTTGTTGGGTCATATTTGAGTGGCTGGTGTTGAGAGGCCTCAGGGGGTCCGTCACCACGAGCACTCAGTCAACTGCCACGATGGTGCCATTACCGCAGAGCAGTCAGCCTTGGTTGCAGATGTTTCCAAGAAATACAACATGAGGATGAGAGTTGCTCTTGGATTCTGGCAAAGCTGATACTCTAGGGTTGTCGTGTCACTTCCGTGAGTCCCGACACCCGCATCTCACCCTCTTGAAGAGCTTATATATTTCCTCAACTTGAGCAGTATTTCCTGAGACGGCAATCATCCTCATAGTGTGAATGACGATACACGTCGTGTCCGCAAGATCCTTGTGCCGTTCGGCTGTCTGCACTAGAGTAGGCAAAAATACAACGAAGGCCTGCCTGCGTTCCTGGCATTCGTGCGTCAAAAAAGCAGTGTTGGTCACGAGTTCAAGTCCATGAGTGGTTTTGTGGACTCTGCTCGCTCTGGTGTATATGCAATTCAGTATGATCCCGTCAAGGAGACGGGATCGGTCGTCACTTATTCTCATCGAGGAAAAAGGGAATAGAAAAAAGAAGTAAACAGATAGGAGGACCCTCCCCCAAAAGGCTGTATATGGGTATCCGAAATGAAATTTGCATTACAGCCAGCGCTGCCGTAATTATTTCAGCATCTTCAAAGGGACGGGCCGCCCGGCTTCCGTGCCTGGTATATGTGTAAGATATTGTAAGCGTGGATTTCCTTGTTGAAGGCCTGTGACTTAACCTCCGCCGTGATTTGTCTGATTCTCTCCAAGTCCCAGTGAAAGATGCGACTGAAAGGGGCGAGGCTGAGCGTCTCGATACTTTCAGAGATTGCAAGGTTATACCAACGGGCTACCTTCTTCTCATGTTCATCATGGTGCCAAGGGTTGAGAGGCAACCCCACCATCTGATGGTCGATTTGAGTAAAGCCTGCCTCCTCAAGGTGTCTGATGGTATCCCGGGAGCTGTGCGCTATGGGCCTCATAGTATCTTGTGTCGCCTGCTTCAGGTATTGGTACCATTCCCGGAGTGCCAGTCCATCCAGGGAGCGATCATCGCAGCGGGGTTCGAAATCTATTTCCACTTGTTCAAACCATGCCCCAGGCTGAAGATGCCTTAAGATTCGCTTGTAGAGATTCGGCCAGCCCAGAACACTGCCGGAACCCATCTGCAGGTGGATTAGATCCCAAGAATTCTCCCCAAGTGTCCATGGCGCCTCAAAGTCAAAAGGCGCATAGAACTCGCAGTTGTCAGGGTGGTTGGGAGGCTGTATAGGTGCTAGATCTACCCCAGCCACGAAAGCATTGGGATACTTATGGGCCACGTCAATGGCCCAGATCCCAGTGCCGCATCCCAAATCTAGGAATCTACCATTTGGGGGGTGAGGTGCGTAAATTAAGCTCTCGGACACCCGTGCTACCGTGAACAGCTTATGGAAGATATCGAGACGGTCCTGCTCCTCCTCATCACATGGCAGCGGGTAAACTCCTCTGCGATAACCATGATATGTTCTCCCATTTTCTTCATAGAAGAGCCATCTGTTTGGAGGCCTAAATTAAACGAACAACAGAAGGAGAAGATCCCTGAATTAGTCGCCCGATAGTTGTAGAATACTAGCGATTTTGCACAGCACGAGGAATAGGGATTTTGCGGGGTGTGTGGGGTGCACAGTATGGGAAAGGGTGAAGTACCTGGTATAACGGCTTGTCTGATCTGGACCCCCATGACCATCATAAGGATCATCGTTGGGTGGGGGTTCTCGAGGAGGTTCTTGACCTGTGAGGACGTGAATGTCCATGGCCCCCGAGTTCTGCCTGGAACGGCCGGAATCATAAGATCCTAACCCTTGGTAGCTGTAGTTATTGCGATTCGGCGAAGCCATGGTGATTGGTGGGTGCAAAACTCGTCCGATTTCAAATATGAGACCCAGAAGTCCAGGAATCGATTCACTAAGAAAGAATCCGACTTTTCCTGCTCAAGATATGGTAAGGACACAGGGTTGCATTCAATCAAAGACCGGCGTTCTTGGTTGACGGTAACGTAAAACGCCAATGTTAGCCAACAGGGTGTATGCAGGCTGTGGGTGATATCGGGGTATCGAAAGTCAGGTGGCACATAGAGGAAGTTGGAGTTCGGCGCCGCAAATGAGCCAATGATTGAATTGAAAGGTTGGATGGACGAAAGGATGGCAACAACAACAAACTCGCTGAAGATACCCTCTGCGGAAACAAACAGTGGCTGATGAAGGGAATTAGAGGAGTGGGATTAAAAAGGGGAGTGGAAAGCCGCAGAGCAAAAAGCCAAGGCAAGTAAGAATGATCCAAGTCCACAATCGTGTATTTTATCCCGAAGCTTGGAAATATGTATGAGAGCAAAGATGCACGCACACACAAACACACACACAGAGTCACACAGTGGAGAAGAGTATCCCCAAATCTCGGCCGAGGCACAAGGAGGAATGAGGTTACTAAATAGGAAAAGGGAAAAGAAAAAAAGTCTCCTCCCCGCAAGGACTGGAAACCGTCGGGGGAAGAGAACAAAAGAGAAAGTAGCGGTCACGGCAGCGGCATAGGCGAGAAAATAAAAATAATAAATAGTATCGATAACAACAAGTAGGTGTCAGGCGTTACGAGGAGAGAAGCGACTAAAAGAACAACCATGTATCGGGAGAGGGACGATCGAGAGTTAGGTCAATTGGACTGGATCATCGGATCAGAAAGGGAAAATCCGATCCCGGAAGTAAGAGTCCATTTAGACGGCGGAGAGGAAGGGGAAGGGAGGAGGAATACAGTAGAGGGCAAAGGAGAAAAGGCAAAAAGCAAAGCAACCCTGCCTTTAAGGTTGTTGCAGCCGCTGTCTTGACCCCGTTGGGCCCACGGGCGCGAAGGCGGGGCGGTTAGAGGGCCTGGGAAAAAGGGCTGGAATGGTGGGAAACGCAGGGGAGACAGACAGACAGACAGACAGTGAGAGGCAGTAAGTAAGTGAGTAAGTGAGTGAGTGAGTGAGTGAGTGAGTGAGTGAGTGGACCAAGAGCCAAAGAGAGATTGGGTTGGGGGAAAGAAATCAGGGCAAGCAGTAAGAAAAAGGTAAACAATCTGGCGGCTAGACTGGCTTGGATTTGTGTTTGAACTACTGCCAGTTATGAGACGTGGAGGTTCCAGAGTTTAGTGGTTTGTTGTAGATGGCATCTCTGCTGCTGCTGCGAGTCAGGATGTGGTCGAGTACCGACATGGGTTCAGGATGCGACGGGGGATGGTGGGAAATGCGCCTGGCTATCGATCTGGCGCCTTCCGAGCATCATTGGTTCTCTCCGGAAGTAGAGCCCCTCCGGCAACCATGGAACATGGCTTCCTTAGCACCTCTGGGCAGCTACACGCGGATCACTAAGGTCCTGACTTGTCTCTGGCTCTCTCTGCTGTGAGGGTCTTTTCTTCTCCAACTGACGTCCGGAACCTGGATCAATAATCCGGTATTGATCCGCTACTGCCATGTTTACGGTCCCTCGTGCCCTAACAATCAATCAATCAATCAATCAATCAATCAATCAATTCCATCAATCTATCTCCTCCCTTAGCGACAAATAAAAATAAAAATAAACGTTTGGATAGCGCTTCACTGCCTCCTCAGGGCGACACGTCCACCGTCTGTGTGCCTGCTGTCTGGTACCGATCCCAGGGTGGATGCACGATGTACTAGGTATGTATGGATGGTACATGTTGACTAGCTTGCTAACTAACTCACTACTACCACAACATACAGACGCACTAACTAAGGAGTCTGGCTAGTGTTCCCAGGTGTTACCAGGTGGTGCACCCGGACCTACATACTACATGCTATATCCACAGGGGATAATCCTGGGCACATAGGCTGTCGGTATATCATACGCACAAAATACATACAGCTTGTATCCACCACGAGTTCGAAGCAGGTAAGTAGCTTAGCGTCTTCCCAATTGGTTTTTGTCTGTCTTTTATCCTTTTTCTCTTTTTTTTTCCCTTTTGTTGTTCCTTTTTTTCTTTTCTTTTTTTCTTTTCCTTTTTATTTTTTATTTTCTTTTCTTCCCTCTTTTTATTTCCTCTTTTGTTCTCGTCTCCCTTTTTGGCCTCTACTTAGTATTTCCGATCTTTTGATTTCTCCCTTTTCCGGTTTTTCTTTTCCATATGCTTTTCCCCTTTCGGGAAGAATTGGATTTCTTTATATCGGTATCCTTCTCTAGTCTACCACTTCTTCTCTATCCTCAGCATTTCCCTCCCTTTCCCTTCGCTTGCAAAAAGCCAAGAGGCACAGCATGGATACCTAACTTCGGGTCGCCAAAAACCAGTTCTCACCCAGATTGATAACTTTGGGTCAGTTCGAGGCTGGCGGTAAATGATTGGTGTTGAAGATGTCGCTGGTATTCCGCCCTTCTAGTACGACACCCTGCCTCCCAACCGGTACCAAAGAAGATTCAACCCTTCGTTCTTTTTTTTTTGGCCTGAGGCTCTGATACGAGTCCCCATTGCCTCGGTTCGCGGCTTGTATGTATCCGTCTTACCAGTAACAAGACGCAAGAAAATAACGGTGATCACAATAATGGGGGATCATCCGGATATACAGTGAGTGTGAGGGTGTACCAAAAGGGAAATAAAATCACAGAGGAAAATGAGGGAAAAGAGAAGAAAAAAATCCTGGGCAAGAAAACTCCACCAAAAACCATCTTGTCTAATGGCTTAGAGTAGGTTAGGGCAGGATCAGTTTGCCCGACGCTATAAAACGGAGGTTTGTGAGGGGGGAAAGAATAATGAACCAAAGAGATTGAAACGAGCCAGGATCGAGGGAAGACAGCAACCATGGATGGGTCCTCAATCAAATTTAGCCCAAGTGACTTCCGGGCGGGATGCGGACCGTCTCCCACACTTAGTTGAATAAAGGAAAGTTTCCTCGGGGGAGCCACTAACGCACAATATCTCCGTGGGCCTAGCGGTCGCTGCCCGCATTCTCAGGCATGCAAGCGTTAGGCAGCGTTACCAACACTCTGGTTGAAGGATTTGAAGCTTCGGACGTGCTTCCCTTTCAACCCTCGCCCGTAGCGCCCGCAGCGCCCACCACAGGCAAACCAAAACCCGTTCCAACCCTCCATCGTTCAGGGTCACTAAACCCACGGCATTGCGTGCAGCCGCTCCGGAGTGGATCAATTTGCTGAGGGCGCTCCGTATCTGTCTCTCGTAGCGCTAGATACATTGTATCTCACTGGCTAGAGAGACAAGAGACTCAGACTCCTTACACGCACGCTGGTCGTTGGTTCCACTCAGGCTCCATCCTGGACGACTACTAACTAGTAGCCCGTGGCTGTGGGCATGGACATCATGAGTTCTGGTCCTATTAAGTATTGGACAAGACTTTCCAGGAAAGCCAGGAAAGGATCATGATCGGAGATTATCATGATACTCATCACATCATGACCTCGTTGCGGGTGATCAGGAATAACTCCTCAAGTGGGGGCATGTTGGGAGGAAGGAAAGCCCACTCCTTCTCGACACCTCCAACAGACAAGAAAAAGAAGGTTTTACTCTGTACTACCTCAATTATTCTCGGGATTCTTTGAAGTGTTCCTCAGCCGTACTCTCTATCATACCCACCACTTGGAAGATTAGTGAAAGTATGGGAGGCTGGCTGGGAGGGGGCTACGTTACATCCAGCTATTCCTGGACGGGCTGCACCATGGAACTCAATATATCGGGACAACATGCTGGATCAGCGTTAGGAGCTGAGGCCTGTGATTCATCCCGAACGGTTGGACAAACAATATGTTAGGGGAGAGGGGGTGTGGAGGTCAAATAAAATAAGAATAATAAAAAACAAAAATTGAAATTAGAAAGAGGAAAGCCAGAAGAAGGCTAAATTCAAAAGCGAACAAAAGATCCAAGGCTCTCTCTCTGTCTGCCTCAATCTCTCTCTCTCTCTCTCTCTCTCTCTCTCCCAAAAAAAGCAAAAATTAGAGAGAAAAAGAGAGAGAAAGAAAAAGGACTGGGCAGGTGGCGGAGGGATGGACGGTCAGCGCCGTGAGCCGGGCACACTATGTGCTTAGGTCGACGCATGTAGTATGTACTCCGTATGCAAGTTGTCCCTCCTGTACTCCATACATACATCGTACATGTGTCCTTCCAATCCATCCCATGGTCACCCGCCCGCTTGGCGCCCGAACCAGCCTGGCGTTTGGCCTAAGGGAACAGCAGTTGCCTTAATGTAGGAATCTCATGTTGATCGTTTCACCGCTTCCCAGACTCTCGGGTCGATGGTGATGATGCATGCATCATCCTTCTATGCGTTGTACTTGGTGCCTGGTCAAACCGGCTGTTCTCACTTGCTCGGCCTGCATACACCGGAGACTTGGGATTTCCCCTTCCCCTCTCTCTCTCCCTCTCTCTCCTCTCTCCTCTCTCCCTTCACACACAGTAATCACACGCACTGACGACTGGTTCTCGGTTCTTCTTACCTCTACTAGTCTTTCAATTTATCTACTTGATGGCTGTGAACCATACAAGTCATGCCTTTTTATTTCAATGTTGTTTTTTTACAGTATGTGGTACAGATGTACATCAAGTCATTTTATTACTGGATGCGTCCAGAAGATAGGCACTTTTTTTGACGCTTGCTCCTCCGCGCTACTAGTACCTTCCTTAATGGCCACTTCAATCACTTTCCCATTGTTCGTTGACAAGTCAACCTCTTACCCCCGACTTGAGTTCCACGAATCTCTGCAGACCAACATTGCTGCAAGGCTCGCATTTATTTACCTTAAATGACACAACCTAATAACCAAGGGTTGATTTGGGAAGGAAGGAAGGGAGATAGTGAGAGCTCTGGTTGTGTCTTCCCGGCTATCTCCTTCCTTTGGGGAATCATCACGGGGCACGTACTATACTAGCTGGCTTAGTACTTCAGGCCCCCCTCTCAAAATCCAACTAGATGGTTGGCAGCAATTACCGACCAGAAACTTTACCCCATCGAGGTTTAACTCGATCATGCAGTTCTGGGTTAATTACACGACCAGCAAGTTGATAGCCCCGATAGTTAGATGCGTACTCACTGCAGAACTATACCTGTCCTTCACCTCTACAGACCTACGGTGTTGGTTTCTAAGCATAAGTCCCCTGCTTGCTCCGACTTCAGAATGGAGTCGTCGTGGCATCATCCACCGTCGACGCCCGGCCCGGTTTCCAATGTTCCCCATCGGAAATATCAACCCATACGACTGCTGCCCCATGATTTGCCCAACCGTCTGGCCTTCGGAGTCGGCCGTTGGCCGTCAACAATCGACCTTCCTTTCGGGGATGATGTTGGGACCAGTTGCGGTCTGTTCATTAAACAAAAGCCGATTTCTGGTGCCGTGCATTGCAAAGCTCTCAGTCTGTTGTGGCTGTTCTTTCGAAATCTGGTGAATATGTTATACCTACTATTATGTAGGGGGGGTGTTCAGCTAACGCAGTTACCGTCCTATTTCTTGCATTCGTGTTTGCCTTGCGGAACGTGTCCGTCTATCATTAAATACAGCTACTTTTACCGTTACGGTTCCCGTCCAATCAGCGAGGCATGGCTTGACATACAAAGGAGCCCCGATTATGAGGCTCACCATTGAACCTTATACAAACAAGGGTAGCTGAGTACTTACCTACAAAAAATCACATGGCATCTACGACTGGAGACTTTTAGTTACTAATGGCTATCGCCAGCCACAGCCACAAATTGATCCGCGTTCGGTCAGGCAAAACGGCAATGAGGCTTGAGGTATTATTAACAACGAATCTCCGAGGAGACCGTGAGTGATTTTCCTTCAGAAAAATTCTTAGCGGGCACGGTCCTCATCGCGCTCTCTAAGATGGTCTTGCACACTGAGTGGAGACTAAATGGCCGTGTCCATAAGTACTTAAATCGGCGTTTTATACAGCAAGGCGGGCGGTGCATGCCGCCTTCATAGCCTAGAACGATGAACTAGCGAACGGTGACAGGCAGAGTGGAGACTCTTCCATCTGAAGAAATCACCCCTTTCTAGGGAGGAATTCTGCATGTCTTACCGCACTAGGTAGGTAGATAGACCGCGTCGTGGAGGCTTCCTTATATGTTTATTTTTCTTTGATAAATTCAACATCTATAGCTTATTAATACGGTTCAAAGCTAGCTAGGCATGATCAATTCATGGTGGAGTTAGTCGAGATGTCATTAGAACAAAGAAAATATACTAGTAGTACAAATTAGAGATGAATTAATAGTAGCATCACTGTCGACATGCATCGGTTGCCATAATCCAGCAACTATCCTAGCATTCGTCCAGCTTTTTGTTCTTAATATCATTACTACATAGCAGTACTTATTTAATAGCAACTCTGTGAGTGTCCTAGCATACGTGTCGCTGGTTGAGATTAGTTGTGGTATCATGATCATCAAGTTGACCCGAGTATTTATATTCCATACTACCACATGAATATACCCAACACCATGTACAAACACCGACATCGCTATAGCATGCATACCCCTTCAATCTAGACCACTCACTAATAACTTACCAATAGCTTCATAGCGACCAATACTATACCCCATAACAACACAATGTATAGTTACCTACCTACCTACTAGTCAAAGAGAGGAAGGAGACCGCGCGACCAGCATAGTCAGTCAGTCCATTTGAAATCCATACCAAACTTCTCCTAATAATGCTTCCTACTACTATTTCCCGTTAACAGGGATTATGATATCGTAACGGCAAATGAATAAATATATATATATATATATATATATATATATATGCATATTACCTACTTCCACTATGCACAGAACCCACACACAAAACTTTACAAACCTAAATTCAAACCATAGATAAACATAGAAAAAAAACATGAAAGGGAGAAAAAAACAAAAATAGTCGCGCCCGGGATCGAACCGGGAACCTTCTCGGAACCTCATCAGATAATAAATGATGATGTGAACGAGAAATCATAACCATTAGACCACGCGACTGTGATTTAAAGTTTGAAAATTCTTGGGCTATAATTCAGAAGAAAGATTGAACCGGGACGGGACCGGTTAATTATCTTATCGCGCGGAGTTTTTGCAAACCAGCGAGCGGGCTTGGTGGTGGTTTGGATTAGATAGTAGTTAGATTTTTTTTCAATCACCCTGTCCTTCCTACACGACTATCTGTCTCTATCTATCTATCTATCTATCTATCCCTTCGCGGTCGTCGCATTTCTTTGCTTGTGTGTGTGTGTGTGTGTGTGTGTGTGTGTGTGTGTGTGTGTGTGTGAGTGTGTGTGTGAGTTGGGGGTTATTTTACATAGCGGTTTCTTTTTCTTTCTTTCTTTTCCCTTCTTCTTTGATTTACACACGCACGCGCCGTTGGCAATCCACCGATCGATTGATCCATCCGTCGAGAATCAGTCGCATTCAGCGAACGACCTAAATACCTACCTACCAACCAACCTACCGAATTTACTACCTCCGAACCAATCCACCTCCCATCACAAAGAAAAATAAATGGACGCCCAAGCCTACCTCCTCCGCCACGGCTGGTCCGGACCCGGCAACCCACTCAACCCGAACCGACGGCCCGGCACACACGGCGGACTAGGACTGACGAGACCGATTCTCGTTGCGCGACGCCAAGGCAACCAAGGCGTGGGAAAGAAGACGACCAAGGATCCCACGAATCAGTGGTGGCTGCGGGGATTCGAGGACGCGCTGAAGGGCGTGGGCGATGAGAATAAGAGTGCGGGGGATGCGAAGCGCACGCCGAATGCGTTGACGAGTGAATTGTATCGCTATTTTGTGAGGGGGGAGACGGTTCCGGGGACTTTGGGGGGTAAGAAGAGGAAAGCTGAGGATGAGGATGATGATGGGAAGAAGAAGAAGAAGAGCAAGGGAGAGGAGAGTAAGGAGGAGAGACGGGTGAGGCGGGAGGAGAAGAGGAAGAGGAAGGAGGAGAGGGCGAAGAGGAGAGAGGAGAGGAAGAAGAAGAGGGAGGAGAAGGAGGTTAGGAGGGCGGAGAGGGAGAAGAAGAGGGCGGTTAAGAAGATGAAGAAGGAGAAGAAGGAGAAGGCTGGTCCTGAGGATGAGTATCCTACGCCGCCGGCGACGGAGGTGGAACAGACGGAGTCGAGTGGGAGGGATGAGGAAGAGGTGAAGAAGGACAAGAGGGAGAAGAAGAAGACAAAGCGAGAGACGTCTGCGTCGGATGACGGGTCGAAGAAAAAGAAGTCGAAAAAGTCCAAGGATGAGACGGCGTCCTCGAATTGAATGTGAATGAATGGGATAGACGGATGCTCTTTGGCAGTTTATAGATAGATTCGACTTATAGATACCCATGGCTGTGCTACTTGGTTGTATATCCTCACGAACAATATTTGCATTTTCATTATCATTCTTTTTGTCGTCATATCATCATCATGCTACTTCCTTGGCTTCTGTAGGCAGCTTTCCTGGCTTGCCGGAGAGAATCCAAGGCCGTCTCTCCCAGAATTCATCCTTGATGATGTCGACATGGTCGACTATGACCTGCACTTTGCGACGCAGTTTGCGGATCTTTTCTTGCTGTGTCTTGGAGGGTGTGTCCTCCTGCAATGGCGACGTTTCTTCCTGCACGCTGGAGTCTGATTTTTCTTCTAGTTGATACTGTACCTTGGTCAGTAGCCACACATACGAAGCAGTAGAGACATACATACCTGGCGATAGATAACACTGCCCTTCTTGTAGATTTCTTCTTCATTGTTATAGTTGATGCCGAACCTCTTGAAGAGGATCTCATTCTTGTCGGAAGACAGAGTGCCCTAGTCGACACTGTTAGCAGCAGTAGCAAACTTTGAGCACCAGAAACTCACCTTCAATTCAAGTTCAGCTTCTCTTCTATCCATCCCACCTTGCAGGACCATCGACCAGAAAGTCGTATTGTAAAGGTTATTGATATGACCTGCAGCATATTAGCAAACGAAGAATGGAACGGCCAATGCTGCCAATAGGCACAACTCACAATCCACCTGCCGCCAGCTCATATAATCCCTGAAAATTCTGGAGTTCGGGTACATCACTGCTCTTCCATCGAACGAAGGCAGAGCTGCTGGCTGCAGCGGCGTATCTGGGAAATACGTCCCCCATAGATAGATGTAATGCGCCGTGAAAGTTGACACAATTGTCGTTACTAGTTTGCTGTATTTCAAGCAGAATAAGTCCATACTGCTAGTGGACATAAAATAATGCGCACGGAAAGAAGAATAACTTACGCACTCCGCCGCTCAAATAATTGGCAGTTGGGATGAAAAGCGAAACTAATCTCAAGTCAATATCACCCCATTTGACCCGGAGCATGTCGCATCGCATACCTGTACTCATCGCTAATGCCGTAGGCGATGCAAAGATCAGGAAGATCTTTCATGACGCCGACGGCTGCGGCATTCATTAGGTCTAGAGCCCGACGGTCATTGGGCTTTATGAAGCCATAATAATCAGAGAGTCTACATTCCGTCAGTTAGCGACATGTAAACAGCCAGCTCTTAAGATAAGGAGTTAATTCAGCTGCTAAGAGCAGCTTCGAAAAGCGCAGCATCATGTTGAAGCCTTGAGAGGGAGATGCACTGACTTGTGGAAGCCTCTGCCATCGATCCGGACCACAATCCATGTATTGGGAAGTAGAACGTCCGGTTGCTCGAATGACTTGACATATTCATATCTGTGGCGGTTAGCAGCTGCTCTTAAACTTTACTTAATATATATGGAACTTACTTGGAATTTGCCATCTTGCTTTAGACTGCAGTATTTGGGACTGGCGATGATTGTTGTGCAGGAAAAGCCGTCGGGCTGGCGAGGGAGGATGAATCATGAAGATTTGGGTGGGGATGAGGGACGAACCGAACCGTCCCTTTACGGCCAGCGTTGCGCTGCTCTGCACCAATTGCTCTTAGCATGTCTTGTTCGTATAATTTACTTCGACGACATATGCTTTCGACTAGAGCCGCCGCTTTAATTGCTACAGTAAATGACAGGTATACAGAAAAGTAGATCATATCAAGAGGATAAGAAAGGCATGCTATGTGCCACAAAATGACTTCTACCGTCACTAGTTAAGAAATTGAAAGAATGCCTAACGCCACACGGCGACCTAAAAAAAAAAAAAAAATAAAAAAAAGAAATAGAAAGAATGGATGTTGTATGTTCATGCGTGGATATCCTCCGCTGCCTCTTCATCCTCCGCCTCGCTAACATGCTCACTGGGGCGTTCACTCGTCTCACTGGCGGCCTTATCGGACTTCCTGGACATGCGGCTGAAGAATCCCAGGCTGCTTCGAGTAGATCGGTCTGCTGAAGGGGCGCTGGACACGGTGCTGTCCACGCTCTTGGCAAGCATCGCCTCGCTATGTGCGTCTTCGTCAATGTCGCCTTGCGAAGGGTCACCCTTCTTGGAGAAAAGCCCTGACCGGTCCTTCCAGGAACTGAACTTGCTGGAGCTGCCCTTTCGGGTGATCTTACGAATGAATGACTCTTTCGAGCTTCCATTATCCAGCGAGCCTGCGGAGGGCATACGTTCCAAGGATTCATACGAGTCGCCTGTGTACATAGAGAAAGAGCGAGAATCCCGCGAGGTGCGCGATTCAGACGGAGAGCCTTCTTCCATGTGGAAGTCAAACGGAGCATCTAGCTCTCGGTCTTTCGCTGCCTCCTTCTCTTTGCTCTTGTCCGACCGCTTCCCAAAGATGGTCCTAAAGGAAGGTGCAGCAGGATTCAATTTTGGAGTGACTGGCCGATGAGAAGATGATGGCCGTGTACCGATCGGCGCCTGCAATGGCCGGCCTTGTCTCTCGAACGAATCTTGGAGAAAGTCTGGCTCCCCAGTAAGGCCCAAAGGTAGGTGACCCGATGAGCCGTACTGTGTAGATGGCCGGCGCGACTGCACCCGAGACCAGGTCGATGGGGAAGTCCAATCAAACCCCAAAGGACTTCGATGGCCTTGCTTTTCTGCCGATGGCCAACCGAAGTGACGATTATCGGTGGAGGGATGAGGAAGCTGGTTTTCGAAAGAGAAGGTCGATGAGGGCCGCGGAGACAACGACTCCCGGCGCACTGTGCCCAAGATGGAGGAAGGATCGATGGGATCATGACGAGGACTGAACTGGTTGTATCCTGTGCTATGATCGGAGGTTTCACTGGATTTGAGCAGACCGTGTCCACTGCCGAATCCAAATCGGCTGGGTGAGAAGATGCTGGAAATGCCTGCGCGTCGCGAGGGAAGATGATCGGAAGAGCTGTCTGTTGTAACACCTGCTGTGTTGCTCCTGGGGAACAGAGACATCGGATTCGCCCAGTTGCCTGTATAGCTCAGCCGACGACGTCTAGCCCCTATGGGATCCATCTCCTCCAAATTACGGGGGAACGACTGACTTTGTCCTGGTTTCAGACTGCCCAGTAGAGGTGGCTCGTCTGCCAATGTCTTGCCGCGAGGACGGTGGAAGCCAAAGAGCCCCGAAAGCCTGCGCGACGCACTTTTGGGCGCCTCGCCTACATCCAAATTCACCGGTTGCGATTCAACATCTTTGGGCAGGGTCTGGTCCTCCGGACTAGCGAAGAGGCTTTCCGGCCTGCTTCCGGTAGAGTCTGGCGAAGGTGGCCCATGAGGAAACTCTAGCGCAGTGCTTGGTTGTTCGAGGTTGGAAAAGCGAGAACGGATGGCCGGACGGGGGAGTTCGGGCGACTCCTCGTCTCCGAGGAGATCGGACGGAAGAAGTGCGTCGGCGCGAGGGCTCATTTGAGGGTTTCCAAGCGACATATCCGAGTATCCCCGCGTACTATCCGACTGGCCCGAAAGGCTTGGGAGGGTCATTCCATTGTTGATGTTGAAGAAGGCAGAAGTCGGGCCAAAGGTGGGAGACCCAGTGGCAGGAGGGTTGTAGCTGATGCCACCTGAGAACGATGGCTCTATGGCGGTGAAATTCATCGGAGATGAGACATTACTAGCGAGTGAGCTGCGGTGTCGACGTGGGCGAATAGTCGCAGTGTTGGAGAGATCAAGATCGAGAGCTGGGAGAGAGAAGGGTCCTGTGCTGCCGGTACGTTCGGTAGTTAGCCACTTCAGGCGCTCCTGCGCTTCTTGGTACTGCTGCTGAGCCTGTAGAGCCAGTTAGAGACTAGGTCAAGAACCAAGCTATTGTAGATATACTAACCTGGGTATGGAGGTTGACAAGGGTAGCATAGCGAGCGTGAAGATTGCTCAATTTGATCTCCCACTGGCGGGCTCGCTCATTGTCAATGCGATCCAGCTCCTTTCCATCCTCGCTATCTGCTTCCTGGTGGGTTTGCCTCTCCTCCTCCAGCTTCTTGACACGTCCGCCCTTGTCTTGGATTTCGTCATCGATGACCTTCATCTCTGCCTGCTCCTTAGCAATCTTCTCCCGTATCTCATCTCCACGCTGCTTTCTCTCTTCTTCCAGCCGTGTCTTTTCCTCCTTCGACTCCGCTGCTTCACGGTTCATATTCTCAACCCGCTCCTGCCACCGGACGATATCGGACTTGCGCTTCTTACGCTCAGACTCCTTCTGCTGCAGGAGTCTTTCACGCTTCGCCTTCTCACTCTGCACTGTACGGTTGACACTTTCCAGCTTGTAAACGTGCTTCTTCAAATCGCCGCTCGCTTCATCCTTTTCCTTGACCCGCTTTTTCAATTCGTCACGCTGTTTCTCGAGTTCCTTCAGAAGAGCGATGTGCTCATCTTCTTCATCCGTAGTTTGCTTCTCGACGGTCTCGTTCTCGTGCTGCAGGGACTTCAATCGGTCGGCAAGTTGTTCGAGAGTCTCGTCGTGATCGTCATTCGTGGTGCTCTTTTGTGTCTCCTCCGCATGGCCATGCGAGACCTCCGTCCCGCTCGCTGCAGGAGACGGTTTCCGCCCGGCTGAAGATCGCTTGGCTTGGAGCTGTCCTCCGCTGTGCTCCCGAGACATCACGGGCGCCGAGGGGGCAGCAAGACCAGCGGTAGACCGGGGGATGGACGCCCGAATGGTAGGATTGCCGACCGCAGCATTCTGTTGGGTTTGCGACAAGGGCAGAGACTTTGTGCGCACATGGATGATTGCACTTGGGGTTTGGAAGTTCGCAGCACTAACTGAAAGAACGCAGATATGATAGATACTTCCGGGAACCAAGTCCAAGATTTCGACTGCAGTTTCCGCTCGTTTCGATTCGCCCACTGACAACTCATTAGTATCAACAGAAAGAGATTCGAGGGAGCCATTGCCGAGGGTACCCTTAATGCCGTTCAATTGGATGATGTGCTTGTGGATGGAATTGTGAAATTCGGGTTGTTTCCAGGCGATGCGAATTTCACGGGCGGTAATCTCTTCGAGGGTGACTTCTGGTGGCGGAGGAATATCCAGACCGAGCTTTTCAACTAGGACGTCGTTGGGGGTCTGGCAGACCTGCCACGCACGGTACAGTAGCCTTTGAGAGAAGTTAAATTTAGTTGTGCGCTCTCTACACACTAACTGAGACCTTGCGACCTACCAGATCAGAGCCCAGAGAATGGTGACAGCCAGGAAGAGAGCCATGACGCCTCGCACCCTCACTCGGGGAACTACGCTGGGGTAGGCGTCGAAGGAGAGAAACAACGGCTCATACATCCCAGCGTCCGAAACCCATGGAGAGGGAGAAAGGAGGGAGGGGACTGACAACCTCGTCGAGGGGCAGTGAAGGGTCAGCAAGCAGACGATTCACCTAGATAATCCGTGAGAGTCGAGGAGGAATTAATCCGATGCTCCGCGGAGGGCTGCCGAGAGAGGAGTGGGACAGAGTCACCTGACTGAGATAACTTAGCTGACTACTTTGCTTGCTGACTCAGCTCTGAGTCAACTGGATGTAGATCATGGGATGTTCCAGACTAAACTACTTTGGGACATTCCTCAAAAAATAGCCTGCACCAGCCGGAAGGGGCCTAGTGCCCGCTTGAAGCCGAGGAAGGCAGGGAAGAAGCAGCCTGGAGCACATGACGGACCGCCCGGCCGGGGAGGAACAGACGAAGCGGTTGGGCTGTTGAGCCTTCTTGCAGGTCCCAACAATCATAGATTCGCCTTTTGCTAATTCCTTCTCCCATTTCGCTGTCCTAACTGTCTCCCTTTGTTGTCTATACGCCCTGCTGGTGCTGCAGGTTCCACTCGCTTGGTTTCGATCGTGGTCAAATGCTTGCATGCCAACTCATTCGCTTTGCAAGTGACCGTCTCTCGTTAGTGATTCCACTTCGGCGCATGTCTATCGGGCATTGTCACATGGGCCGTATGTAGGCGGCAATTCCTGCACCTCCGCCGTCTGACCTCCGACCCCCCCCTCTATCTGCTGTGTTCTTTGTTTTGTGCTTCGCCTTTATCGCTTGGGAATTGTTACAATATTCTCCAGGGACTTTCCCTGTCATTCTCGCAGGATGCAGTACGTCCGAAGTATCAGTGGTTCCGTCTCCAAGACGTGGAACTCCATCAATCCAGCCACCTTGAGCGGGGCAATCGATGTGATCGTGATTGAACAAGAGGATGGTTCGTGGTTTGCCTCTTTATCTGGTCAATCGGACACTAATCTCTCGTATAGGAACTTTGGCTTGTTCACCTTTCCATGTTCGATTCGGCAAATTCTCTTTGCTCCGCCCGTACGAGAAGAAGGTACCGTTCCCGCATCGATCCTCTCAGCAATTCCCATATAACTAAGACGTTCAAGGTGGAATTTTCCGTAAATGGTGTCAAGCAAGACTATGCGATGAAGCTGGGCGAAGGCGGAGAGGCCTTCTTTGTCTTTGAGACAACAGACGAGATCCCCGCCTCGCTGCAGACTTCGCCCCTGGTTTCTCCAAGCAGCAGCCCCAAGATGCGCAGTGAGGAGAACCTCCCTCCATCGCTCCAGGAACCCGATTATTTGGATCTCGATCGATCATCTACGGGCAATTTAGATGGAAAATCTTCAACAGCCCTTCCGGTGCTATCGAGGAGTATGCGGGCATCGAGCGATTTAGGTGGGTTCTATTGCTGACTTCCATATATCATGTTATATCATGTTATTGACATCCATCTGCGACAGGTACCCTTACTCCTCTTTCACGGTCGCCGGATGACTCCAGTCTGGGCAGGTCCCGACATGGCTCTTTCAGCGATACTCCCGCCAAAATCGACCGAACGGCTACGGATACAGTGCTGTTGACCAAGAGCCGCTCCAACAGTGTCAGCGTAGCGGACCAAGTATATGGGATGCAGTCCTCTGGCGCCAGCGCCGCGAGCGATGATCTGGGCCAGGATGGTCGTTCGCGAAGCCCTCCGCCATTAACTCCCGAAGAGGCGATGTCTCGTGCTGTCTCGCTATCGAAGAAACTCTCCGGATCGAATATTCCGTCTCACGTCACCGAAACAGGAGACCTCATGCTCGATATGACCGGGTACAAGAGCAGCGAAGAGGACGCTCTGCGAGCGGAAGTTCTTGCGCGGAAGATCCTTGCAGAGGAGTTGGAGGGCCCCTATGACATTGGGGCTCTCATCGGGGCCGACGAACATGGGAACTTGTGGATCTACAGTAGCGAAGAAGCAAAAGAGGCTGCCAATCGCCGCGCCACCTTTAATGCGATGCGACCAGGCTCCGCCATGAGCGAGCATGCCATCTCCGACCCAGGATATCACAGTGACAGCGACAAGTCTCTGCAGGACAAGCCGCTACCCAGCCGGCACTATCGCACCCAGTCTGATGTCCAACCCGGCTTCCCAACCCCGCCGCAGTCACCGACGACAGAAGCCCAAGAGCCAACTCGAAACTATGCAAAGACCCTCCGTCTCACGAGTAATCAGCTGAAGGCCCTGAACTTGAAGCCTGGGGCGAACAGCATGTCGTTCAGCGTCAACCGGGCTACGTGCACGGCCACGATGTATCTGTGGAACGGGAATATTCCCATTGTTATCTCCGATATTGACGGAACCATCACCAAGTAAGTGTTTTGGATCTGGGATGCGGGATGTCGGAAGTCGCTAATAGATTGTAGGTCTGATGCCCTGGGCCATGTGTTGAACATGATTGGCCGTGACTGGACGCATGCTGGAGTGGCCAAGTTGTATACTGACATTGTCAACAACGGCTACAACATCATGTACCTTACCAGTCGATCAGTTGGCCAGGCAGATACGACGCGGGCCTACTTGTACGGAGTAAATCAGGACGGCTGGCGACTGCCCAAGGGGCCGGTCATCATGAGTCCCGATCGAACCATGGCAGCACTCCGACGAGAAATCTACCTGAGGAAGCCCGAGGTGTTCAAGATGGCCTGCCTGCGGGATATCTTGAACCTGTTCAATGGGAAAGAGAATCCCTTCTACGCCGGGTTCGGCAACCGCCTTACTGATGCGCTGAGTTACCGGTCGGTGAACATCCCGTCCACCAGGATCTTCACGATCAATTCGAATGCCGAGGTCGTCCTGGACCTTCTTAGTCTTAATAAGTACAAGAGCAGTTATGTTTCGATGACGGAGCTGCTGGACCATTTCTTCCCGCCGGTCAGTCTGCTGGTCCAGGCTGGCGGCGAAGAATATACCGACTTTACCTATTGGAGAGAGCCTCCGCCGGACTTGGAGGACTTTTCCTGCACAGACAGCGAAGCGGAGGAAGGAGACCAAGAGGAGGAAGAAGACGAGGAAGAGGACGAGGAGGAATACGACGGGGAGCTGAGTGACGAGGAAGCAAGTGATGTCGACGAAGATGAGGCCGGAGAAGAGCTCGGGGCGAGCTACATCTCGCAGGACTCGGTCGATGGATCTGAACTGGTGGACAGTCTTAATCTCAATGCCGCCGATGAAGAAGACATCGAGGACGAAGATGAGGTCGCCTCGGAAGAGGAGTTGGACCCTCCTCGTCCAAGCCAATCCAACCCTGGCTCTCCCAAACGCTGAGGGCAGCAAGATGCATCAACTGCATTACGATGGCCAACTCACAGGCCAGGGACTTGATATTTATCGCATGGATGAGGTGTTTGTGTTATAGAATTGCATGATGGGCGTTTGCACGGTCGCATAGCCATATTATTACTTTTGTTGGGCGGCACATAATGTATGATAGTCGAGACACTAAGTTGCACAGTATAGAATTGTTGCATCATCAAATTATGTTCTATTTAATCTACTTTCTGCTGTTTCTGCTGCAACATCACGTACATCGATGGTGCCAAATGCTGGCGAATCAATCACCTGCCGAAGGCGGTCTAGCGCGGACTTGCCTGGCCGACCGACTCTCGCTTTGCCTCCATCGGCAGCTTTCATCTCCAGCTTCATCAACCCCAGCACCCATCTACCCTCGCGCATACACTCATCTACACCTGTATCGGATACTGCGAATCCCATTCCGAACAGCAGGCGATGCCAGCACCCACCAATTGACCAGCCTCCGAAGCGCGTCGCTACACCTACTATCCCGTCAACGACTACCACCTCACCCATCACCACCCTCAATACCATTCAAAATGGCCTCACCAAACCACGCGCAACCTCCCACCACCCAGCCCATCACTCCCCCGACCGAACCATCAAGCACCCAACCCACCGCATCCCAAAACACCACCACCACCACTACCGCCCCCGCCGCAGGACCACCAACAACAACAACCGCAACCAACAACCCCAGCGCCCAACCGACCCAGATCCCCTCAACCTCCCTCAAAGACAGCGGCAAATCACGACGTCCGCGCGATGTCCGACTCATCCACATGCTCCTCTCCTCGCTGGGAGTAACAGCATACCAAGAGCGCGTTCCACTGCAACTCCTCGACTTCGCCTACCGCTACACGTCCTCGGTGCTGCAAGATGCCGTGCACCTCGCGACAGAAGGCTACGCCGGTGGCCCTGAGGCCGCCGGTGGTGGTGGAAGTTCCCGTGCCGGCGCGTCCGAAATCAATACTGTGTCGCTACCGGCGCTGCGGCTGGCTATTGCGTCCCGACTGCATTATCAGTTCCAGGCGGGATTACCGAAGGAGTTTTTGATGGATGTGGCGGCTGAGAGGAATCGCGTGGCTTTGCCCGGTGCGAGTCGTGGGTTTGATAGTCAGGGGATGGCGAAGACGGCGGCGGCGAATCAGAGTGTCGTTATGGGTGGGATGAGGTTGCCACCCGAGAGGTTCTGTTTGACGGGTACGGGGTGGAATATGAGGGAGGAGTGGGAGAGTGAGGGGGAGGAGGAGGTGGAAGAGGCTGGGGATGCTGGGAGGGAGAATGGCATGGGTGGTGGTGGTGGTGGTGCTGGGGGTGGGACGAAGGTGGAGGAGGGTGAGGAGGGTGTGGATGAGGAGGAGGATGGGAAGATGGAGGATGTTTTTGGAGAGGATACGGCGATGGGGGAGGGTGATGGGGATGGGGGAGATGGGGATGGGGATAAGGATATGACGGATGTTTAGATCAGTGGAGAGTGTATCTGCATAGAGGCGTTAGGGCGCAGGATAATCAGCTGCTACTGCTATAACTACCTACTTAGTACTTGGACAGGAGGACGGGAGATTCAATTCATCAATTCTTTCTTTGCTATCCTTTTCCTTTTCCTTTTCCTTTCAACATCATGCACCCATCATCTATCGTCGCTCCATCCATCCCTCACCACCACCTACTACTTACTATACAAGTCCCAATGAACACACACTAAGTCTGTAAATGCCAAACAAAACGCCAAAACCAGCAGTATCAATATAAAAGAAACGAAAAAAGAGGAGGATAACCCTATATACGCCAACCCACACACAGCACACAGCACACACAACCCCATCCCCAACCCCATCATACACATACACACCCACCCACCCAATTTCCCTCTACTTCTTCTCAGCAGCAGCTTTCGCAGCAGCCTGCCTCTCCTGATCCTCCCTCATCATGCGAATGACCTCCTCCCTCCGTCTCTCCACCTTCGCAAGCTCCTCCTCCTTCGCCTTCCTCCGCTCCTCATGCGTCGCAAACCACTCCTCTCTCGCCCGGTCTTCTACCTCCGGCTTCGCATGCGCTACCATGCACGAGTTCATCGCTAGTCGTTGGTCCCGACATACCCATGTTGCTGTTATTGTGCGGTTGACGGCGCATTCGGCGAATGCTATACCAATGGCCCCAGTGATTAGTATGCGTTGCGAACACTTTCCCTTCGGTTCGAAGAAGGGAATTGGGATTGAGATTGGGGTATATGGGGGTTCTCACCCTTGATTTCAGGCGCACAGAGAGATCGCACGCGCTTGTAGTAGAGTTGCTTCACTTCTGCTTCTTGGGCGGCGGAGAGGGGGAGGGGGTTGCGGAGGTTGTATTTTGGTTTGGTTGTTGAGTCGGGTTGGGGGGTTGTGGAGGACATTTTGGATTGGTGAGGTGTGTCGAGGTTGTGTATGTATTGTATGTGTGTATGTATGTCTTTGTAGAGAGGAGGTGTTGGTGTTTGCTGGTGGTGGTGGTGGTGGTGGTGGTGCGGTGTCAATCTGTCGTGTATACGAGAAGCAATAGCGCACTGTCCGAACACGAGGAATAATCGTTGTCGTAAATCAATCCGAGAATCCGACACAGGGTATCAATTCATCACCACCAAATACAACCAATTGCATCAAAAGAAGAAAGCTAGGAAACAACACCAATGATCATGCGTTGTCTAGCACAGCTAGAATAGTTAGAATCCAGCGGAGAAAGAAGTCGGACGGGTTGGTCGGCAACTACCCGATTGGGTTTAGTGTCCTCCGACTCCGACTTTTCATTACTTTCTATCTATCTATCTATCCCCATCCTCTTACCCAACAATCAACCAAGTACTTTTACTCCCTTCACAAGTCCCTTTACGCAGGGAGAGAAAAAGGGGATTCATCATGTCTTCCATGCGAAATGCCGTCCAGCGGCGCAACCACCGCGAGCGTGGTCAGCTCGAAGGTCGTGAGAAATGGGGTATTCTTGAAAAGCACAAGGTACATACATACATACATACCCTCATTCTCAATTTCTCTATATTGTCATTACATGCTAACATAATGACTGTATAGGACTACTCCCTCCGCGCGAAAGACTACAACACGAAGAAAGAAAAGATCAAGCGTCTACAAGAAAAAGTCCGCGATCGCAACCCCGATGAATTCGCTTTCGGAATGATGTCGAATTCGTCCGCTCGACAAGGCAAACACGGCGCTGCAGGGAACCGGGACTCGGCTGCTGCACGCGGTCTCAGTCACGACGCTATCAAGTTGCTCAAGACGCAAGATGCGGGGTACCTGCGGACAGTCGGGGAGCGGATCCGGCGACAGATGGAGAAGCTGGAGGAGGAGGTGCGGTTGCAGGATGGGATGAAGGAAATTCTTGATGGGGAGGGTGCGGAAGATAAGAAGAAGGAGGAGGATGTGGGTGATGATGATGATATGGACTTTGATTTTGATTTCGGGGATGATGATGAGATGGATCAGAAGAAAAACAAAAAGAGCAGAAAGTTGGTGTTTGCGGATGATCGGAAGGAGCAGAGAGTGTTGAAGAAGAAAAAGTTGCGGGAGGAAGATGAGGATGAGGATGATGAGGAGGAGGACGAGGATGATTCGTTTGGGAAGCAGATGATGAAGAAGTCGAGGAAGCAGTTGGAGGCAGAGAGACAGGCGCTTGTGGAGGCTCGTCGGGCTCGCAAGCTGAGGAAGCGTGCGGCGGAGGCGCGGGTCAACAAGCTCAAGTCGCTGCAGAAGCAGTATAAGGAGATTACGGCCGCGGAGCGCGAGCTGGATTGGCAGCGTGGTCGGATGGATAATGTGGTGGGTGGCACGAATAGAAATGGTCTTAAGTGGAAGATTCGTGAGCGGAAGAAGTGATTTATTGTTCCTTTCCTTTGGTTTGTGGTTTGTTTATTGTCCATACTGCTACGGCAGTTTATGATTCTGCGTTGCATCGGTGGTGGGAAAAGTTCCGTGTCTACTAGAGGCGTTCGAGATACCATTAATGTACAGTGATCATCAAGACCTTTTATTGATATGCTCATATTACATGCGTCAATCGTAAACCGCTGGTACAAATCATGCCTGCTGCTTCTTCATGTGCGCCACGCGGATGCTCACGGCCCGCTTGTGCGCATCCAGTCCCTCCACTGCTGCCAGCTGCTCCACCGTGCGAGACAGGCCCAGCAGACCGTCTGCCGTCAGGTTCGAGCTGGTGATGTGCTTGAGGAAGGAGCCCAGGTTCACACCGGAGTACTGCTTGGCGTAGCCGTAGGTCGCTGTGACTATTAGCTTGGTTCACAATACTAGTTTGAAGAGATCGGAAAAACTTACGCAAAGAGTGGTTGACACCGGCAGAGTAATCGCCCACACTCTCCGGGGTCCACTGGCCGATGAACACACTACCGGCGTTCTGCACCTTCTCAACTGCCGCCTCGGCGTTCTGGATCTGCAGGATCAAGTGCTCAGGGGCGTAGTCGTTGCTGAGAGCCATGGCTTCCTCGAGGTCGCGCACAACGAAAGTGACCGAGTGCGCCAGAGAGCCCTTGACAATGTCCACACGGGGCAGAGCCTTGGCCTGAACGTCAACCTCCTTCTCAATGGCCTGAAGCTGCTCCTCGCTCAGGTCAATGGCGATGAGGATAACCTGAGAGTCCACGCCGTGCTCGGCCTGACTCAGCAAGTCAGAAGCGACGAAAGCAGGGTTGGCGTCCTTGTCCGCAATCACCAGCACTTCACTGGGACCAGCGGGCATGTCAATGCTGACACCGGCGGAGGTGTCGTTGGCGACCAACATCTTGGCGGCAGTGACGAACTGGTTGCCAGGACCCAGGATCTTGTCCACCTTGCTGACACTCTCCGTGCCGTATGCCATGGCAGCGACTGCCTGAGCACCACCGGCAAGCACGATGCTTTCAGCACCGACCTTGTGCGCAACGTAGACAATCTCAGGCGAGATGCTGCCATCCGCGCGAGGAGGAGAAGCGAAGACCAGCTTCTTGCAGCCAGCCACCATAGCGGGAACACCCAGCATCATGGCGGTCGACGGCAGAACGGCAGTACCACCGGGGATGTAGAGACCGACGCGCTCAATGGGACGAGAGAAACGAGAGCAGACCACGCCCGGCATGGTCTCCACCTTCAAGCCCTCGTTGCTGTCCTTCTGGGCGCTGTGGAACTTGGCAATGTTGGAGATACTGATATCAATGGCCTCCTGGGTCTCGGGGGACAGCTTCATCAGCTCAGGCGGGAAAGGAGCGCTAAGCACCGGGGAGGTCAAAGAAGTGGCCTTTTCGAACTTGTGGGTGTACTTGAGCACGCCGGCGTCACCGTTCTTGCGGACGTCATCAATGATGGGGCGGACGAGAGCGACGATGGCATCGTTGGACTTCTGAGAAGGACGCTTGAGGTAGTCCTGGACGACATTCTCGGGGGTCGAAGCGGTAATAACGCGGGTCATCTGCATGGGCTCATCGGCCTTGGGAGCGGGCTCAGCAGGCTTAGCGGGCTGAGCAGCGGGCTTCGATTCGGCCAGACCAGCCTTCTCTGCCCAAGGGCCCTTGGCATCACCCTTTCTCCTCTTCACCTTCAGACTCTTGAGGTCCAGGTTCCTCTCCACATCCTCCAGGCTGACACCGGCCGCGACGCAGCGAGTAAGAGCGAAGTAGAGAAGATCCGCAGCCTCGAAGGCAATCTCTTCCTTGGTGTTGGCGCGGCACAGCTCATCAGCTTCCTCCATGATCTTGGCCTGGGTGAGCTTGGGCTCGTTGAAAAGGCGGGCAGTGTAGGATCCGGCGGGCGCATCAGCCTTGCGGGCTTGCAGGGTCTTCTGAAGACGGGCGAGACCGTTGTAGGGGCCGAAGCAGCTGGCGGTTCCAAGGTGGCAGAAACCTTTGAAGATGGTTAGTAGATTCAAGCGGACTGGGAACTCTAGACTTACCTCTGCCAATCTGGTTAACAACAAAGACCAAGCAATCGCTGTCGCAGTCAAAGCCGACGCGGATCAGCTCCTGCACGTCTCCGCTGGACTGACCCTTGTACCAAAGACCACGCTTCCGGCTCTGGTACACGCCGGTGCCAGTGCGGAGGGCCTCGGCAATGCTCTCGTCGTTGCTCCACACCAGTCCCAGACATGTTCCGCGCTCATCAGTCACGGTGGTGGCGTACAGACCGTTGCTCTGGTCTGCGACAGCACGGGCAGCAATGAGAGAGGCGGCGACGATCTTGCCGTTGGGTTCCTTGTGTTCGAAGGTCAATGCATCCGCAGACACAACGCTGACGCCGCCCTGGGCCAGGGTGTCCTTGAGCGTCTCCTCCGTGGGGGTGCTAGTGTATGTGCGGTACAAGTTCTGGGCTTCCAGGTTCATGCCAAGCTTCTCAGCGATGGCCTTGACGGCAGATGAGTCGGTCGACAAGCCAGCATCCTTGTGTTCGGTGGACTCGCCCACCCAGGTCTTGAAGGCATCCACCTGGCTCTCGGCAGCATAGACGACGAGACGTGATGACGGGACGGACTGTTCTTGGGACAGAGCCGTCAGTTGGTTGAGGGAGATGAAGATCTTGGCGGCGCCGGCATTGAGGATATCGACGAGGTCGCCAGTGGAGGTAATGGCAGTAGCGTCAACATAGACATCAAGGAGGCGGAAGTTGCGCTTGAGGAAGTCCTCAGCTTGGGCGAGGCTGGAAACCTTGACGAGGACGCGACCGAAGTAGGCGATCTGCTTGAGGGAGAGGCCGGAGGAGGGGGAAGCGGGGTCGTACGAGACGAGGAGGGGAGTGGCCATGATGGATAAATGGAAGGGGAACTCTCTAGGGGAATTGCTCAAGGAGAGAGAATCAGAAGTAAGATCCCCAAGACGGGGAAGAAAGACAGAAGTTGGACACTGAGGAGAGAAGACGCGAGAGACAAGCGAGAGAAAGTGAGTCAGTCCGTCCGGGGCGGATCGGGGCAAAGATAAAGAAAGACTCCGCCTGCAATTTTCTTCCTGTTCTTTTGCCCCGCCATCGGAGAGGTTCTCACCGCCCGCCACAAATGCCCTGCAATTGATTGGATTGGCAGTGTTGGGATGCCTTTATCCATGGCTGACGGTCGCACAGAGTTAATCCCCTTGGGCAGATGTCGGGTCTGGCCATGTTCCTGAAGCTTGTTGCTTCAATGGGAGTTCCTACTGATCCTGTTGGCGGGGTTGGCATGTCCCTATGAAATTCTGTGGGATCCCGTCAATTCCCTCCACCGGATTCAATTTAGAGTGTTGATTAAGTTGATCCAGTTCATCATTAATTCCGTGCGGTCACATACGGGCCGATTAATCTCGGAGGAATTACTATGCAGCTTCAAATGAATGGGCGAATATCCTCCGAATGCTGTCACCTCCACATGTTGGCATAACTTGCGGCATTTCATCCCGCATTCGGTCGGCCCCAGTGCCGATCGGGCGCGCTATTAATACCCTATTATTACCTGCTCCTAGAGTCCACAGTTACTTGCAGCCAGCATGTTTTAAGAGATCATAAACTGACAGTCCTTTCCACTGACTCTTCGCAGTGCATCTCTCCAATTCGAGCATCCCAGCCGGTCGATTCACTATCCCGAATGAAGACAGTACAATCAACAATCATAGGCAAACATCAATAACCGCGTATTGACTTTTCAGCTGCCCAGCGAGGCAGCATGAAAAGTGTCTAGGTCGTCATTCTCCGTAAAAGTGAAGCGTCTTATTATAGAGGCTGTCACTCTCGGCGGCAATAGTATGAATAGCATTGATAACCAACCGGTACTACAGTGTCTCCTGGGTTTGTGTGAAGAGAAGCCAGGCGCAAAATAATGTCTTCAGTCAACGTACAGTAAATATCCTTTAGGCGAGAGTCCCGAGGCAGCACCATATCCCCTGCTGGGAAGTGGCCAAGGGTCAGAGACCCTTGATGTATCCCATTCCAGGGAGAATATATTCCCTTCATTCACAGTACAAGCCAACAAGAAAAGTTTGATGAAACTGGTGACCGAACCTGCTCTGCAGTGCTCACATTCTAGACGCTGGTGTTCACGTCCAGGTGGATCACTTGCAATCATGAAGCACATGCGATGTTTCTGCAAGTAGACTGGTGACCTGATGTAGTAAACTCTAAACACACAGCCGAGGACACCCCGATCATGAAGGGTCCTGGCATTTGAAAGCGGGGATATAGTGAAGTACTATTTGGGGTTGTCAGCCCACGCCCAACCCCAGGCACACCTTGTCAAGGCAAGCATCTGATGCAGCTCGTGTGAGACAGGGATAAGAATATCGTATGGCTCGATCTAACCATATCGAGAACGGCCCAGAGATACTGACACTTAGTCCAGGCGATCACCTTTGGTTTTTTTTTCCTCGATTTCAAACCTACTTTCCACTAGTCGGTCTGAGGTCTCCGAATCTCCAGGCGATCATCTGCCCATCCTCATCATCTGCTATGCGGACTGACCTGCCCGAATGATCGACTAAATAGTCCTTCGTACTGGCCATCGCGATGTGACTGTGGCACCTCGCCAAGTCTCGAGTTAAATTAAGCGCCCACCCTGAAGTATCTGATGGGTATGAAGTGAGGATGGAGTACCTGCTGAGTTGCCTGCACGGCCAGCCAGGAACAAGTACCGATCACATCAGGAATACCCCTCGGGGACCAGCAGAGGAATCCACCCTTGCATGGATGGCCCTCCAATCGGAGGCTCAGATTGGCGGGGTTAGACCCAAAGCAGCTTAGCGGGATGGGGCTTGGCCCCGCCCAGGAACCAGGGACTGCTGGCTGCCTTTCCTGTTTGGGAAACTCCAGGGCCGCCTCCATCTTCCCCTGTGCCGTCATTGTATGCAAAGCAGTTCTTGTGTGTGTCCTCACACTGGCACACTTGATGGAATCCTACAACTAAACTAGTAGTCTGCGGGTCTCCCCCAAAATGGATGCAGCATAACTCTCCTTCTCAGCCTGATCCCGTCTGCTTCTCCGCATTCTTTAGCCGGTAGATCGTCTTATTTATACCCGATTCCGTCCGCTTGTTGACGTGCTCTCATTCTTGCGTCCTGTTTTCGTGGTCTGTGCAAGACCAGTTTGGTTTTTTATTTCGGGTCTGCTCACTCGGTTGTCACTCATTTCGCCAAACCATGCATCTCCCCTCGCTTTCCTTGACCCTGACGGCCTTGGCCATCGCCAGTCCTTCTGCCGCTTATCCTCACTTTGGCTCCTCCCAGCCCGTCCTTCACAGTAAAACCGACACCACTCAATCGCGCGCAGACGCCATCAAGGCTGCTTTTTCGCACGCCTGGGACGGCTACCTCCAATACGCCTTCCCTCATGACGAGCTGCACCCCGTGTCGAATGGCTATGGCGACTCCCGGAATGGATGGGGTGCCTCTGCCGTGGATGCACTCTCCACAGCAGTGATCATGCGCAATGCCACCATTGTCAATCAGATCCTGGACCACGTGGCCAAGATTGATTACTCCAAGACAAACACCACGGTGAGCCTCTTCGAGACCACCATCCGTTATCTGGGCGGCATGCTGTCCGGATACGATTTGTTGAAGGGTCCCGTGTCCGACCTGGTGCCAGACTCGTCGAAAATCGACGTGCTTTTGACCCAATCGAAGAACCTCGCCGACGTGCTTAAATTCGCCTTCGACACGCCTTCGGGGGTTCCGTACAACAACCTCAACATCACCTCAGGGGGGAACGATGGAGCCAAGACCAATGGTCTGGCTGTGACGGGTACATTGGCGCTGGAATGGACGCGCCTGTCGGATCTTACCGGTGACACCACGTATGCCGACCTGAGTCAAAAGGCCGAGTCGTACCTCCTCAACCCGCAGCCCAAGTCTGCGGAGCCGTTCCCCGGCTTGGTTGGAAGCAACATCAACATCAGCAATGGACAATTCACAGATGCGCAGGTGAGCTGGAATGGCGGCGATGACTCTTACTACGAGTACCTCATCAAGATGTACGTGTACGACCCTAAGCGGTTCGGTCTCTACAAGGACCGCTGGGTGGCCGCGGCGCAATCGACGATGCAGCATCTGGCGTCGCACCCCTCGTCCCGCCCGGACCTGACCTTCCTGGCATCCTACAACAACGGAACTTTGGGATTGAGCTCGCAGCACTTGACCTGCTTCGACGGAGGTAGCTTCTTGCTGGGAGGCACCGTACTGAACCGGACGGACTTCATTAATTTCGGCCTGGACCTGGTGAGCGGGTGCCATGATACGTACAACTCGACATTGACGGGCATTGGTCCGGAGTCGTTCAGCTGGGATACCAGCGACATTCCCTCGAGCCAGCAGTCGCTCTACGAGAAAGCCGGATTTTACATCACAAGTGGCGCGTACATTCTGCGCCCGGAAGTGATTGAAAGCTTCTACTATGCCTGGAGAGTTACCGGGCAGGAAACAGTAAGCTTGAGTCCTCATTCTATTAGGTCAATAGTAACTAACAACATCTTAGTACCGGGATTGGATCTGGAGCGCATTCAGCGCTGTCAACGACTACTGCCGCACCAGCTCTGGATTTTCAGGTCTGACGGACGTGAACGCGGCCAACGGCGGCAGCCGGTACGACAACCAGGAGAGTTTCCTGTTTGCCGAGGTGATGAAATACTCGTACATGGCGTTTGCGGAAGATGCGGCCTGGCAGGTGCAGCCCGGCAGCGGGAACCAATTTGTGTTCAACACCGAGGCACATCCAGTGCGGGTGAGTAGTACATAAATGGGTAGACATTGTTAGAGTGTATGGTATCAATAGAGACATGGCATTCAGCAGAATACTATCTGCCTTGTTCTAATTATACTCTAGACAAGAAACCCCCGCAAACTCGCTCATACTTTCTCCCATTCTTTATCCCATTCAGTAGATCCTCAATAGATGATAGGTGGTCCACCGCCCCACCCCCATACAAAATAGTCGGTGGCGCCCCACACCCAGAGATGCGCACATTTGAGCAGCTTTGCTTTCAGTGGTACCTTGGGGACTGGGACATGTCCATATCATGCTACTATCTATGTGTTTACGTACGTACCTTGGGGGCTAGACAATATAGACATAGAAGCTCTTTGATTTCTTCTCTCCATAAACACAGCACCTCCATCTACACTCTCTTCTTTTCTTACACATACACCCACCAACTCCAAACTATACAGAATCCCTCCCCTAGCACAGTGTAAACGCACAAATCCCCAAAGAATACACATAAGTAAAAAAGACACTGAATATGTGCGGCCCCTCCCGCCCAAGCTCTGGCTCTCTCGTCGCTGTTATCTTCCCTTCATCATCATCAGCCTCAAGTTCATCATCACCGCCCTCTTCGCCTTCATCATCATCCTCAAATGACTCCACATCACCAACAACAAACCCATCATACTACCTCTTTTTCAAAAACACAACACCCTCAGCATCAGATACCCAAACAGGGAAAGAATCGAGAATAACAACAAAAGCCCTCTTCCGCATCCCCGATCCTCTCACTCGCAGATCATTCCAGGAGAGTGCGGCGGTGTATATGCGGATTGAGTATGTATATCCTATCCTATGCCTTCTATTAGCTCTATCTCTGTGAATAGTTACTAATCTTGTGGTGTAGGAAATACGGAGATCTCACGGTGGAGAATAGATCTCCCCCATTACATTATTTCCGGTTACCGATGATGAAGATGCAAGGAGGTGGTGGAGAGGAATTTGAGGTTACCTTGCCGGAGAAATTGGAGTTGGGGGTCTCCGAGATGGGGATTGTGGGGAGGTGTGTTAGGGTTGGGGTTGGGATGGATGGTGGTGGTGTTGGGGATGGGATTGGGGTTGTAGATATGGGGAGGGGGGTGGTGGGGTATGATTGATCTTTTTCAGATTTGTTTTGCTATATGTGTTGTTGTGCTTTAGATGGTGATACTAGAGATATGGAATAGAAGAGAAGGAATAAATCTTTCAATCAGTCATGTATGTGGCTGTTATGGACAGTCTTTTCATAGAAACATAAAGAGAGAGAGGCTAACTACAACTTCAATGAACCTAGTTCCTCCGTACCATTCAAATACCGATGCTCTGCTTCTTCCCAGTTAATCACCTTCCAAATGTTCTGTACATAGGAAGCCTTGTTGTTCAGGTACTACACCACACCCCCATTACATTAGCATCACCCAACGCAAGTAGAATGGAAAGGGGTCCTCACCTGCAAATAATAAGCATGCTCCCACATATCCACCCCAAACACCGGAATCGGCCCTGTCACCGGATCCTGATCCTTCGTCGTGACAATCTCAAGGAATCCCTTCTTCCCCGAACTCACCAGCCAGCCCCATCCACTGCCCTGGATGCCCAACAGCACCGCCTCAAACGCATCTGTGAAGTTCTTGACTGATCCCCACTGCTTCTCAATAGCGTCTTTGAGGGTCGGGGCGGATTGCTCCAGCTTAGTGGCCGGGGAGTCGTAGCGAGCCAAGTTCTTCCAGAACAGCGAGTGGTTGATGTGGCCGCCGCCGTTGAACTTGAGCTTCTGCTGGATGCTGATGAGCTGGGTGATGTCGTTGCTGTCGAGAGCGGAGGCTTGAGAGGCGAGGGCGGCGTTGAGGTTGTTCACGTAGGTTTGATGGTGCTTCTTGTGGTGGAGTTCCATGATTTGTTTGGAGATGATGGGTTCGAGGGCCTGTTGTTGATGAGATGTGGAAGAAGAGAGAGGAGGAGAAGGGAAAGTCTTACATCGTAGTCGTAGGGGAGGTCTGGAAGGGTGTATTTGGAGGTCATTTTGGCTGTTGGACTGTTCAATAGGTGAGAGGGCGGTGATGTTGTTGGAAGAGAAGAGAGGAGGGGGAGGTGGGGGGGGGG